CGACCCGAGGCGAAGATGTTCTGACTGACGCTCGGCCCGATCCCGAGATGGCGTCAACAGCACTACGAGACAACAGACAGGCAAAGAGCCAGAGCAATACCCAGAATGAGCGCAAAAAGATAGATGGAAGAGGAGAGAGAGAGAAACAAAGTGTGAGAGGGGTGTGTGTGTGAGAGAGAGAGACAGAGAGAGAGCAAGAGCGCGCTAGAGCAAGAAACTGAGCAAAACAAAGAGACTTTGACAGCGAACAAACATGGACATGAGACGAAGGCGATAGACGGTACGGGCAGCGCGAGTGGGAGCGGGAGAGGGCGCGGGTGCGGGGCCGAGAGCGAGAGCGGGACACTTACTCAAGGGAGGCGGCCAGCGATTATAAAAGCGTCGCCCGGGCGCCAAACTGAACGCATTGTCCAATCGCTTTTGGAGCTGCGTGGAGCTCTCCATTTAGTGATACCGTTAATTCGCTGAGTACCGTTCACGTGCTACGTATCCAGAACCAGGTCCGGAAGGCAGAAACAGCCACAAAGTTGCGAACTCGACGACGACAACGACGACAGCTGAGCGAACTCATCAAGCAGTAGGTGCGTACCCACAGATACAGATCCCGATTCCTCATCAGGATAAAGGACACAAGCAAAGAATCAAAACAGATATCCATATGATAACTCGTCTAAAAACAATTTGCAAACTGCATTCGATTCGAACCGAGTAACGCGACGCATCGTGCCCTCGTAGTCACTCCTCCATTTGTCACCATTTCACAACAGTTCCAGAGCAATAAGACTATTCTATTCAGTTAATTTTTTTAATTAAAAAACTTTTTTTCTTATTCTACTTTGACAACCTCGAACATTGACATTAAAATTAATTATGCGAAATGAATTGTCGACAAATTAGACGAAAAACAAAGTGAAAACGAAAACGAAATCGAAAGCGAAAACAAAAGCGAATTCGAATTTGAATTTGTTGTAGAAAAGCAACAAGATCAAAACAGTTTCATTGTGTAAACATAACCCAAAAACAGTGATCGGCTAGTCTTCTAGTGTGAGCTGAAGGATCGTTGGAACTATTAACACTGATCGTGTGCTTAGCGATCAGTTAGATCAGTGTTAATTTGATGCTGATCAGTGATCCAACTGCCACTAGATCTCCAAGCGCGAGAGCAATGCATATGCAGTGATAAGTGATCAGCATTAGTAGTTTATGTGTGGCGCAGTTGTGTGATCAGTGATCACTTTAGAGTCTCTAAGGACCTCAAATGCGATCACGTGATGAGCACAGAATTGTCAACACACAGCCACTCCTAGTCTCGCTCTCGCTGAGTCAGCATTGAGCCTGCTGGACTCGATCGGCGTTGCGTGAGCTTCAGCATTTCTGCAGTGGGTGATCGTTAGTCATGTTTTTATTTACTTAGGACTGCTTAGGAGCCGCGGCAGCCACATTGCCCAATCAATGAAAATATTTCTGTTGTTTACTCAATTGCCGATTCGGGCAATTTCAATTTCAGAAATCAATTCTCAATTTCGATTGCGATTTCGCGTCGGTTTAATTTCGATGCCGCGTTTCATTTTCGCTCTCAAATTGTTTTCAATTAAATCATCAATTAATTGAAATGTTTGTGCAGCAAAACAAAGCGAAATGCTTTGGAGAAAAAGAAATAAAAGGGCGCATCGATGCGGGGCGTGGCCCAATCGAGAGGCGGCAACATCGAAGGAAAAAAAAAACAAACCAAAAAAAACTAACGAAACAAAATAAACGAAAACCGATTCGAACAAGTTTTAGGCGCACATTTTGTTTATGCTCGCAGTTTAATTATTTAACAACAGCAACAGGCAGCAGAAGATACAAATACATTAAGTCAAAGAGAGGCACAGCTAGAGCCACAGATACAGATACGAAGAGAGATACAGCCACAGATACATTTGCAGGCGCAGTTGTCTTTGTTTACTGCTTATTTTGCTTGTTTTTTTCTGTTGGATTTTTTAAGCTTTTATTATGCCCAGCAGCTGCATTAAGCAACGCCCCAAATTTACATATTTTCGTTTCTCATTACTTTATAAATAACAACAATGAGCAATAACAATGATAATGAGCAGCGAGCAGTGCCACTCGCAGCGAAGACAGCAACCAGAGCGCGTGCACGAACCATTTGAAATGTTTACACTTTCCACTTGCAGTTGATCACAGCATGTGAATCCATGAGTCATGAGTCATGGCACCTAGCAACAGGAATCAATATCAGATATTCAGATCTAAAAGGCTCTGAGCTTTGATTCATTGATTCAACTGAGTTGTCAAGCAAAAGGAAATGTCGAGGCTGGACAATAGTGTTTCAAGTCAACTCTAACATTTCAAATGCTAATTAACCTAATTATGCCCAAACAAAGCAGCTGCAACTGCAACTGAAACCGTCAACAATGCACGTCTTTGAATCTACGGAGTCTGGTTACCTTAAAGCCAAGCACAACTGAGTTATGTAAGGCCAAGTCGGCTGATTATATAGTATCTGAATTGACACTTGCAACGGGCACGTTTGGAAAGAAGAAAACGCTGCGAACCGTTCCATTCTCGATTTCCACTTTCGAATTTGAATTTGCCCATGCCAGCGAGTCCCACATAAATCTTCGGGCCACAAACTGTAAAAAGGAAAAAAGCACGCGTGGCTATTAAACACTAGGCATTTCTATATATCTCTCGGCGCACATTGACGTCACAGAGTCGACAGAGTCAGAAAAGCGAAAAGCGAAAAGAAAACCGACTCGATGTGTTGAAATTGTTTTCGAGATAACATTCGAAATATCGACGACACAGCTGCTGTTGTCTGACTCATAAATAATGCTCGAAATAAATCGAAATATTTTTCAAAATCGTATAATATAAGTATATATTATGAATATTTAAAACTCAGGCATTATTTAATTATGCATTCAGGGAACTTTTGCGCGAATCGCGCATTAGGGGGAGTTAACAACATTGTTGATCGAGCAGCAAGCCTCATTATCAGCTCAACGAATCGCACTCTGGTCACACTGAGTCACATGTTGAGCACACACGATCGATTAAGAGCACAACGACGAATAAGCTGTATCAATCGGCTATATTTAATATATAATAATATATAATAATATTATATATATATAATAATAGCCATGGGCCATACTACAGACAACGGGAACGACGCCGACGACGACGACGACGGCAACAGCAAAAATGTCGCTTATAAATATAATTCTTTGATCAATTAAGCCCCTGCCAGTTGTCGTTAATTGTTTCATGTACTTAATTCCCTTGAATATATATATATATAACATTTATATATATATATATAAATAAATATATTTATATGCGGGGCCGTTGTCGTCTATCTCGCTGTCACTCAACTCTCTCTCTCTCTATCTATCTCTCTCAGTCTCTCTCTCTCTCTCTCTCTCTCTCTCTCTGTCGCAAGTTCATGGTTCAAGTGCCTTTAGTGTTTTTGCTATTTTTTTTCTTTTGGCTTCAACTCAACTCTAGCTTCTTTGAGCAGACCTTTCTTCATCTCTCTTGTCTGTATCTGCAGCGGGGCTTATCGGCACCCGGAACAGGCTGCCCAATCGCTCCAATGCCTCAGCGGGCCATGGACTAGGCATTGTGCCATAACAACTGCCCAACACGATATCGTCAGCAACAAGAGAATGCAAAAATGCTGATGCTGCGCTTGCACCGCCCCCTCACTTCGATCTATCGTTGTCTAAGCAACTAGCATATCAGATTCGAATATTAATTAGAGCTTTAAGCAATGCCACACTCCAGATATATATATATATATATATATATATAATAATTATATATAATATATATTCATTTTTCTTAGCTCACATAGCAAAAAAGTTTGCCTTTCTGTTACTGTTGCGGCTTAGATATTAGTTGTAGAGTATCTGCTAGTCAGGCACATTTAACAATGCTCAGCAAACAACAATATTTTGGAGAATCTCAAAAATGTTTGAGGCTATTTGCTAGTCAAGCTTTCTTGCCTCAGTGTCCCTAGACCAAGAAACAAAAAATAATTTGAGTTTAATTGAGCAACGCTATTTTTGATATTATTATTGAAAACCTTATTCATATTCATACTCATACTCATATTCATGTTCATATATCATAATTATTCATATTTATGCATCCATTTATATTCAAACAAATTCATATTCTTATTCATAGTCCTATTCATAAAGATATGCATATTCATTTACATAGGCATATTCATATTCATATTTAAATTAATACTAATATTCCTAGTTACACTTGCATTGACATTCATATTCATATTCTTACTTCCATTTATATTCATATTCACATAGTCATATTCCTATTCATATTTATATTCATAATGATAGTCATATTCATATTTTAATGTATATTCATATTCATAGTTACACTCACATTCATATTCATTTTCATACTTCCATTTATATTCATATTCACATTCATAGTCATATTTATTTAATGCTCAAATTCATAATCATACTCTTTTTTATATACATATTCATATTCATATTCATATTCATATTCATATTCATATTCATATTCATATTCATATTCATATTCATATTCATATTCACATTCATATTCATATTCATATTCATATTCATTATCATATTCATATTCATATTTGTACATCACTGCACTATGAACGCTTGACCAATGCCGCCCTTATCAGCGAACGCTTGCGCTGTTAACTAACGCTGTTAGCGAAACGGCTCTGTTAAGTGTGCTCTCTGTTATGGCTTGCGCCTCTGTTATGGCTGCTATTGATGCGTGCAGCTCGCACGCTCAGATATTTTCGTTCGCTTTGTGCGGCTATTTAAAAGCGCGCGCGTAACGCGTCTCAGATACTTTTCATTGTTTGGCGCGTTCGAACGTTGAAGCGAGTGAGCTCCCCTTAACCAAATACGAGCAGCATAAACAAATAACAAAGATATATTTATATACAAATTCAATAAGTAAATCAAAACAAGCGCAATTTAGCGGGATTTGTTCTCTTTTTGTTGGTGTTGTCAAATGCGATTTGTGAATTGCTTTCCGAATTACAGTTATTAATGTGGTCGCAAGCAAAATCGAAGCTTCTAACCCAATCGAAAGCAAGAACAAGAACTACAGGCAGAAGCAACAAACAGCACAGCTGACAGATACAAGCGACGGCAACAAGCGAAACAAAACAAAACAAAACAAAAAAATCAAAACTTCAAGCCAAATTGCATTCATTCTATCGAGTTAACTATAAAGCTAAATTAAGTGACGAGTGCAGCGCGCAGCTGAGCTAAAGAACAAATAAACAACGGCAAATCTTGTCAGCAAAAGAGAGAGACAGACAGATAGAGAGGTAGAGAGAGAGAGAGAGACAGACAGAGCGAGAGAGGCCAGAAATAAAAACGCGTGAAAATCAACAAGTGCAACACGAACTTGAGAAATATCGAGTATCGGGAATTCAGAAAATTGCAACAACAGGTAAAAAGAAATAAAAAAAAAGAAAAAAATATAGAAAAAAAAAACAAAACAGAAAAAACAACAAAATATCAAAACATGGAAAACAATAACAACAAATAAGAAATCAAATTCAAAAGCAGCAGAACGTGACGCTGTAAATTAGCAAATCAATCAGAACAGAAGAAAGCAAGAAAAGATATATCTATAACAAATTCTCTATAGATATTATTATGTTAATTGCTGACTGATATCCATTGCGTACACAAGGTATGAGCTGCTGGAGTGCAGTGCAGCCCCGGGTTAGGAATAAATAATACTAAAAATACAAATTTAATTGTATAAGTCAAAGTCACTTTCATTGAATTTCTGTAATTGTTTCAGCTTAGCTCTTAGACAAATAGATTCCACGAGCTAAACAAAGATATTCTATAAAGTTCCATTTTCCAGCTAAGACCAATCAGATTTTGTTAACAGTCTAATAAGATTGCGCTTCTACTAGCAACAATAACAAGTTGAAGCATATTGAAATTGCTAGGATATATTTGCCATATATATAGGATATATTTAATATAACTAGAATACATTTGCTATATATATATATATATATATATATATATATATATATATGTATATATATATACATATATCCTAGCAATTACATGAAATCCAAATGGCATTTTTAAATTGTGTTCAAATGCCAAGCTAAACAACAAAAGTAAACGACAACAACAGCAAAAAATAAAAAATATTAACCTGCAGCGCCATATAGAACCTAGTTTGCCGCTCTCAGTCAACTTCTTCCCATTTGGTTGACATTGTAGACGATGCGAGTCCGCGACTCAGATTGATTTCAAGCAGCGCCAATTCCAATCAGTGTGTGCATGCGTGTGTGTGTGTGTGTGTAGACTCCTATAACAAATAAACAACGTTAAGAGCTGATAATTGCACGAATGCGTTCATAAATAAATAAACTGCTAACTCATATTATTTCCATAGTTTGTTTACATGTTTCTCTCTCACTCGCCCACTCGCCCACTCCGCCCCTCGGCCTCTCTCACACACTCTCCGGTGTGTGAATTTCTTTGTTAGCATTAATAGAGATCAGGCATAAATGAGCCCAGGCGCCCGAGATCGGGTCAAGCTGGCACGAAGGCCAGGCCGCATGTAAATCTGGTGAAGGGCATCCAGTTGGCGGAAGCGTAGGCGGAGGTCAAAGCGATTACAGCTTAAAGATAACGAGATTGGCCAGATGCCGAGATGAGCCTCTCAGCAGATCTGATCGAGCAAGTGTTTATTCGAGAGAGAGAGAGTGGTCAGAGGGGGGAACGTGCTGGAATTGAAACATGTTTTAGTGCGCGCGATTGGCATAATATGGAAATCAAAGTGAATTGCATTAAGTAATACATAATTAAATATATTTATTTGCAACACACACACGATCGGTCTTCGGCTCGCTCTCCTTCCGTCTGACGCGTTTTCTTTCAATGCTCGTTATTCGAATCGGTTTTCGGTTACCGTTTTCTGTTCCTGTTCTCCTTCATTCGACATGGCGACAGGCGCTAGTTGTTGTTGTCTTGGCAGGTTCAATGTAAAACGGTTTGATGTACATAATTGTTGCTACTGCTGTTGTCGCCTGCCTGTTGCTGTTGTTCTTTTAATAAATATAAATAAAGTGAAAGATTGCTGCAGTGCGCGCAATAAATCATAAATTAAAACAACAACTGCAGCAATTGCGGCTATCGGCAACAACAAAAGCTGACAACAAGTCACGCAACTGTCTTTGTCACTGTCACTATCACCGGCTACCGGTCACCGATCACCGGTCACTGTTTTGCTGTCAGACAATCACCGGAAATGGCAATGGCTATGCATATAGTACATGCCTACATCCAATAGAAATGGCAGCCCTTTCTGTTAACTAACAGCCAATTGGAATAGCCAGACTGCCAAACGGCCATGTCTTCTGCCGTTCTAAGCCTGCTAACATAAAGCAGTGACGCGATACAGAGGATATACTCATAGCAATACACAGCCAATCAGATTGAATTGGATTGCTGAAATGCGTCTTTACACTGCTTGCTATTAGTTTACAGTAGTTGGCCCTTAAACTCTTATTGCTGCTAAGCTACTGCCAGTTGGGTTATGCTATGCAGCTTGTTTCATGATGTTAGTGTATTGCAGATACAACCTATCGGGCAGCAGCCGAACTAATAAGCAAACACACTTCTTACATTCCGATTGGAGAGCCCATAAAGCTCTGCCAATTGCGCTTTAACAGCGACAGTTGACCGACTCTCAGCTGTAAATGCCAATAAAATGCATTTGAAATATGTGTATTTATTTATTTATGTTTATCCATATTTGAATGCAATTCTTGAATAGCAGCAAACGCGTATTTCGCTGTTATTTTCACCTTTAATAATCAAACAAGTTTCTGCGCTCGCCTTGAAGCGTCGCGGCTCTGCCTCGGCCTCTGCTTAACAGGCTCTGTTAAGCTCTGTTATATGCTCAGCGATCAATGATCAGTGATCAGCGATCAGCGATCTGCGATCTGCGATCAGCGATTAGCAGCACATTTCATGAGCTATTTATATTTTGAGACAGCAATTACCCATTAATGAATGCAGAGCAATGGGTGGTTTAATTTGTCATTTATTTCATTATTATTATTAATAATTTTTTTTTTGCTTTTTCTATTTTGCACGCCTTCTGCTTTTCTATTTTTGGGCATAATTTTTTATTAAACAATTAGAGCGAATGTTTCGGACTTGTTTGTGCCGTCAATTAGACGATTGGCGACAGCACGCACACACACACGTTTGGTATTTGTATTTGTATTCCATTTATTCATTCACTTCAATTACACTTTAATGGGCTATTAATTTAGACGCCCAATTGAACGATCGGCCGATCGAGCACGGAGTCGATTGACCGCAGTGGTTAGAGTAAAATGAATGGAAACAAAAAAATAAAATATATACATATATATATTAATATATACGTATATAGAAGAGTAGAGCCATATCATTCAACTGTTAAATTTATTTCTTCTTTTTCTGCTTACAGATCACCAAAGGATCAGAGCAAAACCCCTCTAAGCGCACTTCACTGAGCCCCAACGCTCAACAGCCAACCGCACCAAAGTTCATATTATTTAATTTCTTTTTGCTACGCGCACAAAAACCAACAAAACACTTGAACTATAGAATGGTAGAAGGTGATTCTGCAAAGAGTAAAAGCGAATGTAAGTGAAGCGAAGAGCATAGCAGTGTCTGAGCGCGTACTTATCGACGATCCTCGATCTTCTCCTTATAGCCTATAATGTAGAAGCTGGCCTACAACCAAACTACAATCAGAACAACGCAGCCGCAGCCGGTGGCAACGCAGCAAGCAATCCAAACAACTCACCTAGCCTAACCGGTTCGAATAGCAATTCAAACGCGGGCACGCATATTGATAACCGTGCGATCATCCAGCCGTATTCGTTGGGCACGGGCGCCAAGCAGCCGGAATATCAATTCGCTGCTGACAATCGCGGCTACGAGCCGGAACCAAACACCAATGGCAAGCAGCAGGACGTAGAGCGCATCGGCGCTGGCGGTCCTGGCGATAGCTCCGATGAGGACGCCAAGCGTAAAACGCCGCTGCCGCCACCAAATCGTCCGATAGTCGCCAACTTCGAGCGGGCCATCGAGCTGTGCGACTATGGCAAATTCCACTACATACTGCTGGCCATCTGCGGTCTGGTCAGCACGTCCGAGGAGATGGATGTCATATCCATGTCGTTCATCTTGCCATCGGCCGAGTGTGATTTGAATTTGGACACGGGGACGAAAGGATGGCTCAACTCGATCATTTTCATTGGCATGATGGTCGGCGCCTATTTCTGGGGCAGCATCGCCGACAGCTTTGGGCGCAAGAAGATTCTCATTGTCATCTCGTTCATGAATGCCTTCTGCATCGTTGCCTCGTCGTTTTCGCAATCTTATGGCTATTTCATGCTGTTTCGCTTTCTCAATGGCGCAGCGTAAGTAAAACTCTTTAATCATTATTTAGCAGCCAGTTTACCATTTGGGTTAAATAACAACAGAGAGTGATAGCAGCCAAGCTGCAGAAATAACTTTAGTACCATTCCAATAAGGCTTAGCAAGCAGTTCTACATATTTACCCAAACTGCTTGGTGGGCAACTGGGAAGTTCCAATTGGAAATGTTAAGGAGCGCTTGTTAGCATTTAATATGAGACCAAGCATGAAATATTTAATGATATCGTATATATACTATATAGACAGTCCGTTTCGTAGTTGATTTAGTGACACATGGCCAGCATGGCCGGAGAGGGGTACTCACGGGTGTCGAGGTGCTAATTCAATTAACTATGTTATAAATAACAACAAAATATTTGAGCCGCAATATCGTGACTCTTTATGCTAATTGAGGCTCTGGTTGGCCTGTTGGCCAGCTCGCACAAACATATCTCATACATTATTGTAGATATTATCATATTACAGGCTATGATAACAAACAATAAAAACAAAAACGGGGGAAAATTCGTAGTCGTAGTCGTAGTCGTAGTCAGCTTCGTCTTTGCACAAATGGCATTCGCCTTGGCCGCTCTGCCAGCTCAGCGTCTGACTCAGCGCCAGCAGCGAAAAACCCAGGCTAACCGCGTGCAGTACCGTATAGACAGCTCTATTTGCAGACTCGACTCGACTGTGCTCATGTTCATTAGTTTTGCCAATCGTTTGCTAATTGCTTATGTGAATTGGAACTGGGCATCGGTTTTACACAATAGCATTAATCGGCCATGACTCGTCACGTTTCTAGAGCAAAGCGCGCCCTCACTCTCCCTCGCTCTCTTTATCTCTAGAGAGCTGAGTGCTATGAAACTGCATGTAAACTGCTTACGCTGGCTTTTAAACGTTTCATTGAAGGAGTTTTTTGTAGACTAATGTGAATTGCTTTCCATTTTCTTTATAGGCTGGGCGGCAGCGGTCCTGTCATCTGGTCGTATTTCGCCGAATTCCAGCCGAAAGCGAAACGTGGCTCCATGCTTAGCTTCATGGCTGCCTTCTGGACCTTCGGTAATCTGTTTGTGGCCGGCCTCGCCTGGCTGATCATACCCACTCAGATCGGCTTCATATCGGAATATTTCACATACAACTCGTGGCGCATCTTTCTGTTGGTCTGCTCGTTCCCATCGTTCTTGGTTGGCTTCCTGCTCTTCTACCTGCCCGAATCGCCCAAATTTCTGCTGACCCGTGGCAAGAAGGACAAGGCTTTGGCCATTTTCCGTGGCATCTTCGTGACGAACACAAAGAAGAAGCCCGAAGAGTATATGGTGTACGATCTGGAGGTCGACGAGAAGCTGTCCACCGAGAGCGCTGTGGGCTTCAAGGGTAAATACCATCGGATGATCACCGGCATGGTGGACCACAGTCGCGACCTATTCAAGTCGCCCATATTGAGATTCACGCTCGTCTCGATCACCATCAATTTTACATTCCACATTGGCTACTATGGCCTGATGATGTGGTTCCCGGAGGTGTTCAATCGCTACGAGGAATACGAGAAAACCCATCCCAACCAGCAGGCGGACATCTGCACTGTCACCGACTATGTGGTCGATCAGCTACAAAAGGAAAGCCACAATGGCACCTGCAACTCGGACATACCCTCATCGGTGTTCATGGAATCGCTGATAACGCTCGCCTCCGCTCTGCCAGCGAATCTGTTCGCCATCCTCGGCATGGATCTGCTGGGCAGACGGTTCTTCCTCATTGCCGGCACCTTGACCGCCGGCATCTGCTCCGCCTTGATGTACATGGTGCGCAGCTCGCTGCAGAATCTGCTCGTCTCGGCCGTTTTCAGTGGCGCTATATCGGCGGCAAATGCGGCGCTCGATTGCCTCATCACCGAAGTATTCCCCACCAAGTTGCGGGCGACGGGCGTGGCCATATCCATGGTGGCCGCTCGACTGGGCGGCATCATTGGCAACATTGTGATCGCCCAGCTGCTCGACAACTTCTGCCCGGTGCCGACGTTCATTGTGTCCTTCCTGCTCATCGGCGGCGGCCTCATGTGTCTCCTGTTGCCCAATACGACGCGAAAGGAACTCAACTAAGTGCGCCCAACGCCCATCCCCTCCCCTTTCGATACCAGAGATACACCTAAACAAAGAAACAGCCAAAAAACAAAAAGAGGGAAATGAAAATAATAGAAAAAGTAAGAGCAAACAATACACACCTCAACCGCCCCTCCCCCCTCCTCCTACTCCTTCTCCTCTCTCCAAATAGAAATCAGCGCTCGTATTGTTTTTGTACGTATGTATTTACACCCACACACAGATATATGTGTATTTAAATCCATATATATGTATATATAACGATCTTTGCGTATCGTCAGTAATTATGTTTTAATGATAACGATAACGATAACGATATGTTTTTTGTGTCTAGCATTTAAGTACAGCGGAATTATCGATTTTCGTTTATTATGATTTTTGTTTTTTAATACTTTTATGTTTATTATCTTTATTTGTTCAACGGAATTTAAATAATTGCCCTGAAGCCAACGCGAAGATATATAGCCGCTATCTAAGTACATGCACATCCATTAATATCTATATATATATATATATATATATATATATATGTATATGTATATATCTATATATTATTATATTGATATGTATGTATTTTGTAGTTGTTGGTAGTAAGTAAAAAAAATATAAAAAAAATACTAAAAACCAAAAAAAATAATTAAAAAATAAAAAAATAAAATAAAAAAAAATAATTTGGCAAGCGCCGGCGCCGGCTAAAAGCAGCAGAAGATAGAGCGAAAGAAAGGGAGAGTCTCTGTGAGAGAGCGAGCGAGCGAGTGGGAGAGTGAGAACGAGAGAGAGAGAGAGCGATAGCATCGGCTGTTTGGCAGGAGAACAGATGAAGGAGCAAGCAGGGATCAAAAGCGAGAGCAGCAACGCCTGCTGGCAGTTATTGTTGTTATTATTATTATTATTATTATTGCTATTATTAATGCATGTTACGTACTACACATACATATACCTATATACATACAAACAAATATATACATAAAATTGAAAAACTAAAAAAAAAACAATATATAAGATGAAGAAGAAGAAGAAGATGTAGAAGGAGGAAAGATCAGCAGCAAAGTTTTAATGTGACTATTTACATTAATGCTTTTATGATTAGCATATATATATATATACATATATATATATATATGTTATCTATATATATATAAATATTTTTTTTTGTTTTTTTTTTAATCATTATTTAGGGCAGAGCACAGGAAGAAAAAGAAATTTGTATATTTTAGTTACATATGTTTTAAAAAATAAAATAAAAATAACAAAAAAAAAAACAACAACAAATGTTATTCTATTACATAAAGCAATGAAAAGCATATAAACGAAAATCCCCAAATACAAAATAAACATCATGAAAAACGCAACTACAAATCTTCAAATGTCTTTTAATTGCATTTAAATTCCATTTGAAGCTAGAGTTTTCCAAGCTCCACTTCGTTTTCCATTCGCCCTACATCAATGTGAATGAGAGAAGCGAAATACAATTGAAAATCTCGATTTTCATTGAATTATTAACACTCTTAGCTCTTAGTACTATGTCCATATGCTCCGCTCTGCCATATAGAACTATCTGTGCGGCAGATCAACAGTGATCAAGCTTCTTAACTTGTTGTTGCTGTGAGAGATATAGACCTATATATATAGCTCATATTTACAAAAACCAATAGACTCCTCAACATTCGTGAACGAGCATAACGATATGAGCCAAGGTAAGTAAATGATTGAGTTCAGCTCTCCACTTTACAGAGGCATCCACATGTTGTCCTACTCTCTGACTAAATTCCACTCTCGGACTGAATGAAGTCTGAGTTACAGAAGGGCAATGGGCACAGAGTATTGCGCAGTCGTTTGTACTCTAGCTAGCAACTAGCTGTGCCTATTCAAATTGGCAGCATGAACGCGTCTCAATCAATCGCGTGAGTTGCGGCTGCCACTCATGCTGTGTATCTTATTGATTAGGCCAGAGACCAGAGACTGCCTCACCCACAGTCACACCTGCAAGCATCTAGGCCAGACATCGCTTGATGCTTTTGGTATTTCCGAGCTGATTATACTACGTGCATAAGTAATATATTCCAGTATGTATATGTATCTGCATATGGCAGTGTATCTGCATCTGTATCTCTATCTAGGTAAACACCTAAATCTACATTCGTAGAATTCTATTGTATTGCATGTGTATCTTATCCTTATCTATACTATATCTTATCTTTATCTGCATCTGTATTTACATTTGCATCTTTATCTCTATGCAAATCTGCATTTGTCGCTTTGTATCATTCTATGTTTGTTCGTCTCTGAATCTACATTTGAATGTATCTCTAGCTACTTGTTAGTTTTTATCTGTATCTATATATGTTTACTTATCATCATCTGTATCTATTTATACACTTATCTTTATCATCATCTCTCTTCTTCTTCCATCTCATCTCTATCTGTTTCCTAGTTTTCCTCTTCATCCGTATCTATATGTGATCCTTTATCTTTAACTGTATCTGTATCCAGACTTGTATCTTTACCCACATAATCATTTGTATCTGTATCTGTATCTTTAGCTGCTTTGTTTTGTATCTTTATCTGAGTATATATTTGTATCTACAACTTTATCTTCTTATGAATGAATGTGTATCTAAAGTAGTATCTGCATCTCTACATCTAAATTTGTATCTCTAACTGTTAAAGTAATTCTATATGTATCATTATCCATATATACAAGTGTATCTATATCTCAATCTATTTACATTTGTATGTCAATCTGCATTTACAACTCATTCTGAGCTGTTTCCACATTTGTCTGATTTCCCTCTTATCTGCAGCTGCAGCTTATTAACTTGGGCTGCTCGCACACGCGACTTACCTCATATTTATTTGCTCAATGAATTTTGCAGAGTCAGCCAAATATTGGCTGAGTTAGCTAAAAACCAGAATTAACGTTAATCAAACGAATACACAGCGAGAGTCAAATAGACATATTCAATGGATATAGATACATAGATACAGATACAGAGACAGATACAGATATGATTACCGCAAAGATGCCGAAGTTCACTCCAGAGAAAATGACATTGGGAGAATAATTGGAGAAATCAGCAATCGCAAGAGAAAGCTGGCAAATCGGATAAGTAACATTTCGTATAGTATCTGTATACATTTGTATCTATATCTGCATCGAAATTAACATAACATGCATAAAAATAAATCGAAATCCGGAAATTAACAATGTAACTCCATTTAAAAGCAGTTAAGATAGCTCGAGTCGAAGGTGCTCGATTAGGAGATACTCTGAGCCTTGTCCGATTTTCCAGAGTTTATATCTAGCATTAACAAGCAAGAAGAAACACTGACGTTACAACACCCGGGCTCGAACCAACATGCGCTAATCGACGCGCATCAGCTCTGGCAACGCCGTCAATTCATATTGGTAAAAAAGAAATAAGCCAAAAAAAGGTCTAAGTAAAAATATAATTAAAAATATAAATCGCAATCAATAATATATACATGTGTATATATACGCGACATTCTTTTCTGGCCTTTACATAAAATACTTAAAGGTTCTTCATCAGGGTTCAGGGTACACAAAAAATCGATCAGATTTTGTAATTTTATTTTTATTTTCACTAATTTTTCGCAACATTTCATCATTAATTAATTATACATACATAGTTTCTCATAATTTTTACAGCATTTTTGTCTTTTTTTTTTCAATTTTCATTTTTTTTTAATTATTTTTTTTTTTGATTTTTTTTTTTAATTTCTTTTATTTCGACTCGAACAACTTTAAACTTTTTACAGCATTTCAATGAGTTCTGCTTGTGTTATACATATTATTGGTAGCACATACATAGTGGTACATACATATACATATATATATATATATATATCTATATAAATATATATATATGTTGAATTGAGAAACGGAGAGAAGAGCGCAGACGCGTGGCCATGGCAAACGGCTCTTGAAGCAGGCGCAGCCTAAGGAGAAACCTTGAACAATTTCAACTATATGTACAACGATTTAAGATTTGGTTCTCGGAACACGACATGTGGATAAGGAGCAGCTCTCCGGAGTACAGTGTATCCAAAAAAATAAATGAAGATTTTTGCGCGACAGAGAGGGAGTGTGTGTGTGTGTGAGAGAGAGAGAGACAAGGAGAATGAGAGCGAGCTGAACGCAGTTTGTTAATGGGAATCGTGTGTGTGGCTGTGTGTGCGCAGGTGTGTGTGTCTGTATGTGTGTGTGTGCATGACTACCAGATGATCATTAACATGTACAACTTGAATTCTGTTTATTACATATTGCATTTACACATAATAATATTCATTTATTGCTACATACTGCAAATTTGCACCGCCCACAAATCAAATTGGTTAAGCTTAAATAAATAATGATGGACAACATAATCGTATAGTTTGTGATAGAGGCAAACACATGTATATATATATAGATGTGTGTGTGTGTGTGTGTAAATATATGCACTCATATATAGCTGTTCTAAAGTAATCGAAACAAAAACAAAAAGAAACTTCGATCAATTATGTATATAGGCTATCAACAAAAGCCTGCGCTGAACAATAAACAAACAAAAATAGTTGTTTACAAATAGTTTAAAAAAATAAAAAAAAATGGCTAATCGTACACTAGAGACTACATACATAGCACATACCACATGAAAGGGGTAGCGGAAGTCGGGCAATGCTTACAAACTTGGGGCTTATTACAACTTGCTTGCTATTTTAACTGTTGTGTGTGAGGGTGTGTGTGTGTATGTCTATTCTATTGCATTTAATTATGTTGATTTATTGATGCTTGTTTTCGATTTATAATTCACGATGCACTTTCTAATTAGAAGCAGCAACTCTCAGTATGTGTGTGTGTGTCTGCGTGTGTGTGTGTGTGTGTGGGTGTGTGTGTGTAGTTGCTGCTCAACACGAAGGAAAAAATGTATATATGCATATATATTTTATATAGTATGATTTAATATAACTTTTCGCTTAATCTGTATTTTACTTTTTGTATGCAACAACTTGCGGCATTTGCATTTCGTTCCTTCTTCGGTTCCTCCTTCTTGTTTTAATTGTTATTTTTTTCTATTTTATTTATTTATTTATTTTTTTGTTCCTTTTTTTCTGTTTTTTACTTGCATCTCTGCATCAATGCTCAGATACTCCTTGCCATGCGTTTCCTTGTGCCTTTGCTGTTCTTTGTTTTCGTTTTGCTTTTTTCTTTTTGTTTTCTGTTTTCTGTTTATTTGCTTAGCTGTGGCTGCTGCTGCTGCTGCTGTTGTTGTTACGGCTGTTAATGCTTACTGCTGCTGCTGCTGCTGCTGCTGCTGCTACTTCTACTACTAGGGCCAATTGCTAGTTACACTCGACTTGTTGCATCACCTTAGTTATCCAGCCAGGACTCGCGTCATTCTGTATAATCCCACCAATCCTTTTCATAACCTTCGTGCACATGCTTGAGCAGAACTGTGCACCGCTTCTCACAATATCTAAAATATGTATATGTAAGTGTTAGCAGATCTATATATGTGTCGACATGATGCAGCGGCTACGTACCTATATTTATCCTGTACTTTCTGCTTAATATCAGCCAAATTCTCGGATGTAATATCACGTTCCAAGTACTCGGAGAGCGTCTCCGTTGCCGACTCCAAATCCTTCTGGTTATCCTCAAATATCATGGATTGATTGTTCTTTTTCAAGTAATACGCAAAGACGTATGTGTACATTAAAGTCTGGCGACATTGGCAGAGTATATCGACAGCCTTCTTCAGGAATTGCACCTAGCATACAAATTGAAATATATATGTATATATTAATTATATTTTGTGACATGAGTGGGAGTTGGTTGTTCACATTTTCTACCTCAATCCAGGACATGTTGTGCTGCTGCATCTCCTCCATTTTCTGCTTGACCGATGCGTACAATTTGTTCTCAAACTTCATCGATTGCATGTGGTTCATGTAGCGATTGTAATAATGTAAATATCTGGAAAGGGAAACAGAATAACATTGGATGTTGGATAGTTAATCGCATAGATTAGCGGCCTCGCACCTGGCCAGTGAAGAGCGCAGCCTTTCCTGCGCATCACGCGCCGCCTTCGCCTCGTCCTCGTCGTAGCGATTGCAGTTGTACCAGGATGAACCGTGGGGCTCCCAGGGCCCGAGGCAAACCCAGCAGAAGTCGTGCTTGCAATGTTGATTCTTGCAGACCATGTGATTGCAGCCGCCATCCTTCTCGATGGTGACACTGCATTTGGGACACTCTTTGGTATTGGCCGCAATCCAGTTGGACGTCTCCGAGTCGTCGTCACACTTCTTGATCCACTTCTTCAGCCAGCGGCACTGCACCGGGTCGTGCCAGTTCTCGCCGCAGGCAAAACAAAAGACATGGCCGCATTTGCAATGGACGCGACGGGACTCCGCGTATGGTACTTTCACCACATAGGTGCAATCAACGGACGGACACCAGCGCAACAGCTGATTGCATTCGACAAAGCTGTTGGTGATCAGCTGCTGGTATTTAACCTTCACCCGCGCATCGGGCACCAATTTAGTGACCGTCACATCATCCACCAATATATCACAGCCGTGCGCGGCGCACGATATCGTCTGGCCCAAGCACTCTGTATCGATTTTCGTTGTCAGATACTCGCGCCAGCAGTTCAGGCAAAATCGATGACCGCACTCCAATCCGGTCATGGACTGAAATTGACGAATTTAATTAGAATTGATCAAATCACACAAATCAGAGCTCACTCACATCTGGCGGCAACAGTGAGAAACAAATCTCGCACTCCTCACACTGGCTACGTGTAGTCTGCAAAAGAGAGACAGAGACAGAGACAGAGTTAAGAGTAGGACAGATGATATATGTATTCGCAGATATATACCTTTTGCTGCACCGCCTCGGGTAGCTTGTTGAACGGATTGATGACGTGCGCGCACTTAAAGAACTCCGTGTTATCATCGCTGCTATCGAAATACTTCTCCAACAGCTTCTCCTTGTCCCACTTAAAGTGATTCAGCAGTATTCGTGTTATGGGCGCAAATAGCTGCAAGCAGAGACAAAGCACAGTGAGGAACCAGAATGCAATTATATTTAAAATCTATATACCCGGAGGCAGTTATATATACAAATGATTCATAAGAACACTATATACAGCCGTCAATATTAGTTGCTAGTTGAATGAATTAGATTGGATAAAGACTTGGCCTTGACAAAGTTGGCTAACCAACTCTCTTACTCAAAGAGACTCGTTCGCTCAAGCGAACTTTCACTGTACATGCTCATATGTTACCGAGTCAATGGCACTATTAGCAAATGCAAATGTCATCAAACTGTGCTGACCTTCAATTTGGCTAAGATGAAGCACGCACACACAGATAGGGAGAGGGAAAGAGACAGCAGTTGTAGCTGCCTCTATCTTTATTTCTGCCTCTTCCACTGCTCGAGCTGCGCCCCTTTCTTATCAGACAAACGATAAACGACGCAAGCGTCTTATTGGACCATGTTTACTAATAGCTGCATATGAAATATAATATACAACGGTACACATATTTTATATACAGAAAGAGAGAGAGAGAGTGAGCAAGCCACATTTATATGACTCACCTTTAGCACACGATTCACTTCATCGATTATCTCCCGCTGGAACTGCACTATCTCATCTGTGGTTAGCACCTTGTATTGATAATCATCCGTTTCCAATTGACGTTCCGTCGAACTGGGCATATCGACCTCCATGGCGAAGTCATCGTCACCATCGTCGCCAGATGAGACATTGCCGGAGTCCACATTGTCCAAGAAGTCGTTATCGTTATCCGAGTCCATGGCCGTGGGTGTGTTTTGTTTGCCTTTTGCGTTTGCCTTTTGCCTTTAAGATTTTGCTTTGGTTTTTGCTCTTGCGTTCGCGTTTGCGGTTGCGTTTGCTTTTGCTTTTACGTTTGCCTTTGCGTTTACTTTTGCTTTTGCTTTTGCCTTTACCTTTGCTTTGCTGTTAAGGACTGTTGTCTTTGATTGATTGCCTGCTTCGTCCTTTGGCTGTCTGGCTGCCCGCCTCGCCTGCTCTGATTGCCAAGCTGATGCTGCTGCTGCTGCTTACTTTGTAATTGTTGTTGTTATTTTTTTGCTCGTTTCAAATTACGCGCGTTGCTTTCTTCCTCTTGTTTTCAGCCAGTTACTGCGTATTTTTCACTAGTTAAGATATATCAAATGTTAAATGCGTTATTTACAGTGCATACATAAGCAGTTGCACACACTGGCACACACACACAGACACAGAGAACATAACCATTACATAGACACTTGACCTTCTGCTGTTGCTGGGCAGCTGAGCTGGAAGCAAATCACCTGCTCTCGACTGAATGTATACAATCGTTGTTGTTATTATTATTATTGCACACACAGACAGACAGAGAGACATGCACACACACGCACGCATGCCACTCACTAACGCACACCGAACAAGTGTAAATGATGAATTTTTGTTTAATTTTATGTAATTTTATGTACAGGCACACACACACAAGAGCGCGCACTCACAGATGCGTGTATGTATGGTCGAACAGCTGTGCAAATAATGCAATTACAGCTGTTAATGCAAATTTTGTGTCAGCTAACTAACAGAGCGCTGTTAACTAACAGCGCAGCTCCAATTAGATCGAACTAGTTCAAACGTCTTGTTTATGCACCTGCTTGCTTCTGCGTTGTTGTTATTGTTGTTGTTGCTGCTGTTTCGCTCTTATTGTTGTTATGCAGCACATTTGGCAAACATCTTGATGACTTTTTACATTTTTATTTATTTACTTTTGTGTAATGCACTGTTATGCACAAATTGCGACGTGCTGCCCTAATCACAGTAACTTGTCTTTTGTTTCCTCTTTCTCTATGCGTATGAGTAATTTATTTATTTTCATGCATTGCCCTGCAAAATTAAGACGCCATACAAAAAAAAAGAGGAAAACAAAAAAAAGAGTCCAACTCAGACTACAGTGCTGCATAGCAGCAAAGGCCACAATGGACTCAACACAATCCAAAGGCACACACACATATATATGTATATATATACATATATGTATATGTACAAACATACATATACATATATATGCGCACACACACTTGCACACACTCTTTGGGTGCCTAACAAAACACGTCCATGTATGATGTGTACTTATGCATATGTATGTACTTACACACTTATGCATGCATGTATATGTGCATGTACGTCAGTGTCTTGCTGTTCCAATTGGACCACAGTGCGTTTTTAATCAAAATGTTGCGGGCTTTTTTCGTTTTTTTAATTTTGTTTCTTGAGAAATACGTTCAAATGGGAATACCACACAAATACATCGCACTTGCTACACACAGTGACAAAATTTATACACAATTATGTGTACATACATACAGTATGTAGTTCATACACACGTATGACACAAAATCAAGGCAACACACATACGCAGGCACATATGTATACATAGACACAAACACTCACAACACATACACAACAGCTGCAGCAGCTCAATTTTCAGTTGGCCTTTACTCGCTGCTCCAAAGCCCGTTCGATGTGAAACTCATCTGCATTACTTTAGATAGATTTTTTCATACTTTTAATTACTTTTAATGTTAATTGCAACAATATTGCGACGCGACGCGATTTCCACGCAGAAGCAACATCTGGCAGCTCTACACGACACGAGACATCGATAGTAGCCTATCATTAATCGATAATGCACCTGAATCGTTTTGCCGCCACAACATCGCTGATTCTGCGCCCACATATCAATACCTCTTTGGGTTGTGTCTCTGCTAAGTTCGGAAACCAAGCATAGCTAGTACGCACAACACGTGTAAGTCAGCCAAGTTTATGCCAGCTGAACTGTTGCAGCTAACTTCACGGCTCGTCACATGCGAACATGCAGTCAGCGTAACGTCAATTTCAAAATGGACGATTTCAAAATGGCGGCCTCTTAAGCTCACGACAAAGGAACATGAAAACAAATGGTAAAAATGTATTTTACGAATGCAAACGTAATCACGCTTGTTCTCGGATGTTCAAAGTACAGTTGCTAGCTGCATGTAATGTAGATTATCAGCCATTTTCATTGGTTTCCATGGAACGAAAAGAGATAGCAACATATCGATCTCACTCAAAAGCATTAATTTGAAAGAGTAAGAATACTAGCTGATGCCGATATCTCTTTCGCACCTACGTTACTCAAGTTAGAAATAAAAACACAATTATATATTTCGATTCAAACAATATATTTTTAAAGATTTTGTTAAGGCTCGTATAACGTTACAATTTTTTTACTGTTTATTATTTGTTTATTTTCTCGGCTCGTAAAACGTTAACTCTTTTTATTTATTTACCATTTATCGTTTGTTTTTGTTGCAACATTTTACGTGCCTTTAATATGTAGTTCAATTTGTTTTTTTTTTTTTTTTTTTGTTTAATTCACTTCGGCTTGTATAACGTTACCCAACAATAATTTAAAGTTTTTTTCTTTTTTTTTATATTGATCTATTTCGTGTTACGGCGCGGATAACATATAGACACCCGATCCGAACACATACGTTTTTCAGACGATCGCTTTTAGTTCTTTTCAATAATTTTAATGTTTTCTGATTGATCGCTTAAAACTCGTATAGCTCTGTACAGAATTTAAATTTTAAATTTTGTTTCGGAAATCGGCTGGCAAGCATTTTTGATCCCGCCTAATCCGATTTCTAAAACTTAAGCTTAAGTTTAGTTTTTACCCTTCCGATGGCCACCACCTTAGTTAACTGCAAGAACAAAAGAAAATACATATATATATTTAATTAATACTCAATTGCGACGTGTCCACGAAATTCTCTACAGAAATCTTGCGTCTCCTCCACACACACACACACAAACAGAAAGAAAGAGAGAGATAGAAAGAAACAAAGACGCTATCCTGTCTTCTCCTTCGTTTGTCATTTTAATGATTCCATTTTTAGCACTTACTCGCAGCTTGCACTTTTTATATCTAACGAAACTGAAATTAAAAGCTGAAATTATTAATGGGTCGCCTCCATTTTGTATTCACACACGAGTGATGCATGCGTGCGTGTATGTGTGCAGTGACAACTTACCGATTGATTTCTGACTGTACCGCCAAAAAGAGACTCGAATATAATGAGAAAACTGTCTATAAGACTCGTTTTGAATTCACTTTAGTCTTTAACAAAAACTCGATTCAAATAATAAAAACAGCACAAAATGTAGCTGTTAAATCTTATTAAGTTCGTATCAAATGTGCTTTTGTGTGTTTGTGTGTGTGTATGTGTAACGGTAGGAGGGTGTAAAAAAATAAAAGTTAAAAAAAATGTATGTCTGCTCTTGCCTTTCACTCCTAACTATCTGATGCATGAACATGGCTGCTGCTGCTAGTTATTGTGTGGAAATTGGATTTTGCCAGCAGCATCGATGTATCGATAACAGCGATCGCTGCAATCGATGTAAGCACGATGTATCGTAACTTGAAGCTCGTTTGTTAAAAGAAAGACAATTGAGCGCTTTGCATAGGAGTAATCTTAAAATGCACGCATATAGAGTCATGTTAATTCATTTATATTCAATTTTAATAATAAGGCTTATGAAAACTATTTTTTGTATCTGTTTTAGTTATAGCTGTGCTAAGATACTTATATTTGATGTCACTATATGAGCATACACCATTGCTTGGTTCTTACTATTTATCTTGTAAAATATTTTTTAAAAATATTGTATTTTGTTTTTAAATTTAACAACTTTTGAAAAGAAGATTATAAGCGTTGCCATATCACACAATATTTATAATATGCAGTTCATATAACAGTTGCGTGCGTACTTAGCGAATCCAAATACACTTTATAACAGCTGGTATGCTGCACTAGCTGTGGAAGTATCAAAGTAAATTGGTTTGAGAAGTGGATATATATAAATCGATACTCTAGAAACTTGCTAACTAAATTTTACCAATTGGTTCGAAAATTAGAAAAAGTAATCGATACGTTAGCAGTAACAGTATTGATATTCACTCCGTCTTATAAGCATACCGCCCACTAACTTTTTCAGGTAATTCTTCGACGAACCATAATTTTATCGTTGTTTAAAAAATAAAAACAAATTCCAACAGATTTTCACATTGCATATTTTATGTTGCACATGTTGCAAGAGTGGAAATTCGAACAATTATTTAAGCATATACATATGTCTTATAAACAGACAGTACTCCTGCAGTATATTATTTGTTGTTACAATCCTATATTTTTCTGCAAAGACTAGGAAAGGTATTAACTTAACACCAAATATTTGGGAATTCTCAACATTGTATTCACATTTAAAGATGCATAACATGAAAAGCAAATCTGCATGGATTTCTTTCAACACTTTGAAATAGAAAAACTTATTGCGCCTAAAAAAATACTAAAACTTAAATAATTTTCTTCGATAGGGGAAGCGGTATCGATGCAAATTATGACTAATCGTAGTCGTGTACCTAGTTCGTTATCGGAAACTGTAAATTATTTTTAATAAATGTGGTTCACGACAAGGTTAATCTCTATTATCTATATTAAATTTAATTCTCGAAAAAAAAAATAAATAAACCTAAAAGACAGCACATCAAACTAATTTAGATCTTTTTATTAATACTTTTACCTGAAAACTAATCACTTTTGAAAAGTCCACTTGCATATGGGTTTTGTATATCGATGTCATGCTAATTTAGCAAGTCGATAAGTTTATATCTTAAGAGACCATCGCTAAATCAAAACCAAACAATTGATATTATACTGATTGGTTAAATTTATGTTGAAAACGCCGCAATATGATCTGTCGCTTGTGTTTAAAAAACATAAACGCAAACAATGCCGTCTACCTATTCGAGACCAACGACACCCTGGCCGAATCCTCCCTACTCAAGATGATAGCAAAGTTTCTGCAGCTCGAGGTAAGTTTTCACTGTGCTAATTAAGCGGTGACATGAATCGGGTTTTATTCATGCATTGCAGATAATGCCCGATGACAACATCTCAACGAACATTTGTCACGAGTGCTGTGAGCATTTGGAGGACTTCAACAACTTCTGGCAGCTGGTGGAGCAAAAACAAGGAACACTTAAAAAGGAGTTTCTTAACGTGGACGTCGACTGTGTCGCCCTCAAATGGACGGGCATCGATGTCGATGTCAACATTGATGAGCTTCCACTAGTTGCCGACGAGATGGACGAGAAGCCATTGGATATACACAATCTTAAACTGCTTGGCAGTGTACTAGATATTAACGTGGACAGTGTGGAGTTGCCGCAACTTTCGACTACACCAACACCAAAACAGTTACAGACCGAAAAGTTTCTACAGCTGCATGCCCCAGACTCCAGCGATGACGACGAAGTAGACAACCACAATAACGACGACATCGATGAAAAGCCCATTATGCATGAAAGCAGCGAAAGCGTGCGCAATGCTTCCTCAGATGAGGACGATGGTGAGCGCCTAGCACTAAAAATAATAAATATATCCACTCAACATTGCTTACATGAATCTTATAGACGAAGTGCCCCTTGTTAAGCTGCAACACAAACTTAAGCCGAAACGCAAAGCACAGCGCGCCATAACAAGACGAAACAAGCGGACACTGACGCTAGCCCAGGAGCTGGATCAGTTGTTGGACGGCAGTGAATTAGAGGGCAACAGAACGCGACGGAAAAAGGCACCAAACAACGCACCAACCGATGTGCAAAAACACGAACTGCAGGCGGCGCTCGAGCGCAAACCCAAAGGCTGTTCACGTGCGCAGCTGACGAAGCGCTACGAAGAGGCGATAGCCAGCTATATGAGCGCCGACTGTGATCTGTGCGACTATAGCACCAAGTACCTGTCCCAGCTGAAGGTCCATTTCCTAGAGGTACATCAGCGTGATGCGTATTTGAAGTGCTGTAACAAGGTCTTCAATCGCGCCTCTAAGCTAATGGATCACATACGTAAACACATCAATCCCAAACTATTCACGTAATGTTTGCTTCAGTCAGTCGTAGAGTCAATATTTGAATAGCCATTTTGTCCTTGCAGCTGTTCCATTTGCAATAAGTCGCTCAACTCACAGGACTATCTGGCCACACACATAGAAACGGTGCACAACAAAGTCGCACAGATTGGTAAGGTGTTGAAGTATCCGTGTCCCAAGTGCGAGCGCACCTTCAGCAGCGAGCGGCGTTTGGGCAATCATCTGCTCAAGCACGATACGGATCAGTTGGAGCACAGCTGTCACATTTGCCACAAGAGGTGAGTAGAATATTTGGATCTTACATCTCGCTCTAGCACATGCCTCCTCTGTCTTTCTCTGTGTTAGCTTTGCCAATGTGCATAGACTGCGACGGCACATACAGTCCATACACGAGGATCTGCATCCGCATGTCTGTGATATATGCGGCAAAAAGTTCAAGTTCAAGCCCTCCTTCGAACGGCATCTGCAGGAGCATCAGGGATTTGTGGCCCCGGCCATGGAATGTCCCGTTTGTGGTGTCTGGCTAAAGAACGAGCACAGCCTGCGGCTGCATCGTTTCACACATGACAGCACCGACACCACGTGTAAGCACTGCTCAAAGACATGCAGCTCACGGACAGCGCTGCGCGCCCACGTCAAATATGCCCACAAACTGACGACAAATCTGCAGTGCACGTACTGCGAGAAGAGTTTTAAGCAGCAACGCAATCTGGAGGAGCATATGGCCATACATACCGGTCTGCAGCTCTACAATTGCCCCCATTGCCCCAAGGAATGCCGCAGTCGCTCCAACATGTATGTGCACATCAAGCAACGACATGCGGACGAGTGGCTCAAGGCGAAGTTGGCGCGCTCCCACAACCCGCAGTTAAAGCCACCGCACGCGTAGTCGGATCGTAGCTATATGGCTATATTGTTTAGCTCCATTTGCACCATTTGACAAGGAATTTACATTAAACGAGTAATCTGGAATTGTATGTGTGTATGCGTGTTGCTAGCAATTGGGCAGCAGCTCACCCAGTGTCGTGATCAGGCGTGTGGGCAATGTGTCTGGAAAGGTGATGTTGAAATTAACGCAGAGCGCGCCTCGGCGTGACGGATTCTTTGGATAGGGCAGGCCGCGATCATTAAAACGTTTCAACGTACTTGGCTTAATGATCTCGCCGCTGGTACAAAACGGAAACGGAACGCCCTGCAATGTGGGCACTTGAACGGTGGCTCCGCATAGCGCCTGCTTCAGTGATATGTGTGCAGTGTAGTGAATGTCGCTGCCCTCACGTTGGAACAGTGGATGCGGCTTGTCACGTATTATGAACACTATGTCGGCCGGTATGCGATTGTGTCCCTCGTCGCCCTCCTTGGGAAATGTGATCTTGGTGCCGGATTTCCAGCCGGGCTTGATCTCAATATCTAGTAATTTGACCTCTTTGCGTGGCTGGCCGTTTGTCAGTTTAATGCGCGAGATTTGCATCTTCTTATAACAGCCAGTGTTAATGTCCTCCAGTGCCACGTACAGTTCATGCTCTATGGGTGGATCCTGTTCAGGACGTGACTGAAAATGACCCACATTGCCCCATAGACCGCGCGGACTATTATCGTCCGTCATAAAGATCTGCTCAAGGTTCTCGCCGAAAAACATGCTGAACGGATCGCTCGACCCAAAGAACTGTGCAAATGTCGCACGCGGATCTCCATGGAACTGATAAGCGAAGGTCGAGCCACTTTGATCGCTCTGGTGGCCGGGTATTCCGTGCCTGAGGCCCTCTTCGCCATATTGGTCGTAGATGTCACGTTTCCTTTTATCCGAAAGCACCTCATATGCTTCAGCCACCTCTTTGAAACGTTCCTCGGCTTTGGAGCTCTTGTTCTTGTCCGGATGGTATTTAAGCGCCAATTTTCTATATGCCTTCTTTATCTCGTCGTCCCTAGCGTTGCGACTAATGCCGAGAGTCTTATAAAAATCCTTGCCCATCTTTGGTAATACTGTTTCTGAATTCAGTTTACAGTGCTCTTTTCACACAAATGTCTATGACGTTTTGGACAAATAATAAAAAAAAAAAAATATGTTTACTGCTAATTTTGTGTTCTGACAATATTTTTGAGAAAGCGCCTTAAATTAAACAAATTCGATAGGCAAACGTTTCAATTGTAGGGCTATCGATTATCTGTAACGATGTTCGATGTTGCCGTACTGCTAAGAATTTACCAAATAATAAAATGTCACCCCATTTCAACATATTTTTCCCCCAAAAAGCAAGTTTTACTCCGCACTTAACAGTGGTATCCCCACTTAACAGGCTTGCTCCCCATTTTAACAGAATGTATTCCCGTTAAAATCATATCGTTCACCACTAGAATGCAACGCCGTAAGCGCAAGCTGGCAGCACTGTGTGCAAAAAATACATACGATTTAAACTAATGGTACAATTACGTATTACGTGAAAAGAACGCACCGAAAGTAATAATAAAGTAAATCCTTCACAAAATAGTGTTATAAATGCCAACATATAAAGCGTGTGTGTGTGCTATATTCAAAGAATCCAAGAGGAAAAGTGATTCAAACTAGTTTCAGCACCTTGGATTTCGATTACATTTTTCATCTATACACTTGCAAAAAGCGACTAGAGCAGCAGCAGCAGCCGAAGCATTGGAGAACGACGGTAGAGAGAAAGAGAGCGCTAACAAGCGAGAACGTAGGAGAGCCAAAGCCAGACAGGCAGACAGACGGGCAGGCAGACAGCCAGCGCAACACAGCTAACAACAGCGGCCAAAACGCGTTGAATAGCGACGACAATAGACAAATAAAATTGATTTCGGCAATCGAAAAAGCAAACAAATTATAAATCGTTTCCGCAACCGTGCTCTTCATTAAAAGGAGGGACACATTAATGTGTCGTACCTAAAAAACATTTGGTTATATTTTTTTTGCAAACGGCTGAGTAAGCGTAGAAGAGTGCAAAAAACGTACAAAAGAAAGAAAAAAAGGAGCCAAGGAGCAACGAACTGTGTGTGCGGTGTATGCTCTGAGTGTAAAAGGGTAAGCACTATATACATTTACATTTTCTTGTTTGATGTTTTTGTTATTGCTGCTGTATAGACCACATGCTCTTATTGTCTCACTCACACTCATACTGCATATATTGCTGCTGTTGCATTGTCGTTAGCGGTGGCGGCGGCGACGACAGCAGGTTTATCGTTTGTTTTTTATTTGCATTCGAATTGCCAATGTTTGAAATAACACATAACACATCAGCAATAATCATTTTTGTGCTCAAGTACTTGTATTGCATTGCGTTGGCATTACGTGTAAGGCAAAAACATTATGTTAAAGGTCTGGTTCGATAAATAGAGCGCATGTGGCAACGCTGTGCCACCGCCAGACACACACGCACACTCACACTATCATACTAACATACTGCGAAAAGAATAGCACTAGGAGAAAGAAGAAGCAGCGGCAAACTTCTCGCGCGGTGGATAAAGTGCAGTTAATTTTTATTAATAAAAAAAAGCGTTTGTTGTAAAAATCTAATATCGAATAGAATAGCCAACGCAGCAACGTACAAATACTGTAAATACAATAGAAAATGCAAACAAGCCTATAATTCAGTCAACCATCCACAAACAGTTCTGCGAGTGCGTATACGTATAAGTGTGCTTGTGTGTGTGAGTGCGAACGAACGTGTGTTTGTGTGCTCGCTATTAAACGGCACATTTTACTGTGCCTTTTGACGACTCGAAACTTAATAAGTGTGCAGCCAATGTCGTGTTTATTTGGCCAGGCTTTGAAAATGTGTAGCTTATAATTAAGCTGGTGTGTAGTTCATAATAAACTACGGAAATAACAAAGCAAAGTGCGCGTGTGTCGCTCGATGCCCTCTCTTTCTCTTAATATATGTGTGCGTGTGTGAAAGAGCGTTTGTGTGAATGGTTTTTGTTGTTATAGTCCACTTTAAAAATTTGTTGCCAAGCATTTTTGTCTTTCGATGTGCACCTGCTCAATCCCTTATTATCTATAAAAATAGGAACTGCACAAATTGCCATCAATTGAGCAATTGTATTTTTGATGCTATTGTTTTTTCTTTTTCACTTAATTTTTTTGGTAGTGGTGCCAGGCTTCTCTGTGTCAGCCATTGTTCTTCTTCATTTTTTACACGAAGACGCCACCGCCGCATACTTCTTGTGTCTTATGTGTTCTGCTTCTGTTTCTGTTTCTGTGTGTGGGTCGCGCCGTCGTGTGTTGGGGGCAGGGGCCCAGCATTTGAGCGCAAGCACACACAACTCACAGAGAGTAGTATTCATTGCCATCTCGCTTGCACGCATGTTGCTCGAACATAAGCTGATGCATATGCTTTGCTCGCTCTTTATTTTATGGACATGGGGCGGTTGTGTTGCCCCCATGGAGGTGTTCATACATACATACACATATACACATACATTCACACAAACACATGCATGTATGCATGCATGCATCAATGCGACCCGGCGGCCCACGTACCAAAACAAAAAAAAACAATACACAAAAATTGCAACAAACAAATGAAGCAGCAGTAACAGCAGCAGCTTACAATCTGACGCCCCCCACCCAATCACACACCCTCTTTTAGTGAGTCTCTCTCTTATTCGCTCTTGCTATTAGTCGTTTTACAGCTCATACAAGAAGACTGAGAATATATACAGCAAACACTCAAGTGAAGAGAAACTACAAAGAAAAGCAACAATAAAACGTAAGGCGCCAAGGAGGCAACTAAAACAGATCTCGACCCCCTCGACATCGACATTCGCACAGCCCGACTACCGAACGTTCGCAAATATCTGCATCACAAATAAATCGCATCGAGAGCGATTAGCGTGGAACGCGCGGCGGCAGTAGGCGGCAAAGGAAGCTAACGCTAATGAGGATCTATTGGCAGCATGAGTACACTGGGGGGAAGTAGGGGAGAGCGAAATGCCAAGCCCAAATTCACAGCGTTGGATATAAATCGCATGTACAAGAATAGCCGTGTAAGAAAAAAACTCTTCAATGACAACTTAATCGATTCCTATTTCAACCTCCATCTGTAACCACTTCCTAACAATTTGCAGGGCGAATCGAGTGAACCATCTGCCCAAAAGAATCAAGTGCCGCGTAAACATGGAATGCAAATATTGGGAAAAGTGCCTTCAGCTAGGCGGCCACCGGCCAATCTGCCATCCCTAAAGGCCGAGACCAACATCAGCAGCAGCAATAGTGCAACGCCTTTAAGCAACAATAACACCAACAATAACAACAATCTCCTTGCATCTGTTGACGGTAAGAGATTGACTAATCTACAGATTAAAGATTTTTCACATTCTTTGTGCTGTGGTTGCAGGCAACAGCAGCAGTACGATCTGCAGCGGCTCCAACGCAGGAGGCGCAGGCGGAACAGCGATCAGTGCAGCGGCAACTGGCGCAGGTGCAAACAGCGCTGGTCATAACAGCATCTCCACTGGACACAGTAGTGGTAACAGCAGCATCAGTTCAGCGGGAGGATCAGCTCTTGGTCACCACCACAATAACGCTAGCAAATATAATAGCAACAGCAACAGCAGCAACAATAACAGTACCAGCAACAGTAACAGCCACAGCAGCAACAGCAATAACAATAAGAACTTGAAATTAATAAACAACTCTGCAACAAGCGGAGGCGCTTCAGCCGGCAGCGGCGGAGCAGGATCGGGTGGTGTTGCTGCAAGCGCTAGCGGCGGCCACTCAAATAACTCACCCAAGACATGGTCAGCGATAACGACAGGACACGAACGTGCAGGCGGCACCGGTGGCCATGGTGGCCATTATGGGAACCGTCAGGCGCACCATCATCAGCCACAACAGCAGGTGGTGCCGCACTATCAAAGTCCACAGTTTCAATACGAGTTCCCCACATTAATGGGCGGCAGCGGTGGCGCTGCATCCTCAGGTGGTCATGCGGGCGCAGCCGGCGGCGGTGGCAAATCATCAAAGGATCAGCAGGCGCATTACCAGGGACAGCAGCACGCACATCATCACCAGAATCATCATTATCAACAGCAACAGCAACAACAGCGAGATTATCGCGATCATCATGGCCATCATGGGCGCCAGTTTGGCGGTCACGGTGTACACCACTTGCATCGAGGCGGTGGCACCAATATGGATCCCGGCAGTTACAGAGATGGCAGCGACGACGTCGGCGGAGGAGGCAGCGGCGAACTCACCGAGATGAGCCTGCGGCCCCAAAACGACCCAGCGGCTTGGCTGCAGCAACAGGAGAAGGCCGCCAAGGAGCTCGCTTTGAACCAACAGGGCCAGGGCCACCAGATACCGGCCAACGGGAGCGGTGCGGGCGCAGGATCGGGCGGCAGTGTACCACTGCCTATACTCTCGCTAATGCCGTCATTCATGCGTAGCGGAGCACCGCTGCCCGCCTCTGGAATAGGAGGTGGGCCTACAATGGCAGCGGCCGTTGCAAATGCTGCATCCAGCATTGCCTCAGATCTGGCTTCGTCGGCGCCTGCGCCCTATCAAAATGGCATCACCGGAAACCGATCCTCCTCGCCGGCCATTCTAGGCAGCTTTCGTGCTGCGGCTGCAATTCCGAAGCGACCAGTTGCTGGCAATGCGGCGATGACGACGCCACCACCGTCAGCGACAATGGGAGGAAGTGGGGGCGCGACAACACCTCCGCAGCAACAGCAGCTGCAGACGAATGGGCCCGGGGGTCGCAAGGACAAGGACAAGGACTATGTGGTAGAGCCGGAGGTGGCGCAAATGCAGCGTCCAATCATACGTGAAGAGGATTTGGAGCGTCTGAATGCGATTGCCAAAGACGATAGCTGGACGAAACAGGATGAAATTGACTACACAAAGAAACTCACATTTTCTGATGACGAGGAGCATGTCAGCCTAGAGGATCAGCACCACAATAACCACAATAAACAGCAGCAACAGTCAATCCAATCCAGCAGCAGCAACGATCAACGCAAATCGTCGGGCAGCAGCTCATGGCAGCGCGGCAAGGAGAGCAGCGAGCGAGACTTGGATGGCCCCTCTGATCAGTGTCAGAGTCAAGGTCAGGATCAGCGACAGCAGAACGGCCACCGCAGCAGCTCGGGCAATGTGGTCGTTGGCGGCGGAGGTATTGCTCTTGATGCCGGCGTCTATGAGCGTGTCAAGCAGCGTAAAGAAGAGGAGGAGCGCCGTCAGATGGAACGTAAGCAGGCGGCAGCAAAGAAGCTACAAGAGCTTGAAATGAAAATGAACAGCAAGAAGGCACTGAGCGAGAGTAGCGGTGCAAATACTGCCGGCAGCGAGGCGCCAACCGTGCCCCTGGGCAATGTCAGCGAGGATGAGGGCGGAGGTGTTGGACAGCAGCTGCAGCAGCAGCGTCGTCCACGTGGCAGTATCTCCAGCATGGGCAGCGCTGGTGGGAATGGCTCCGCCTCAGTTCCAATTACCACATCCGCAGCTGTTGGCGATTATAGCCAAAAGCCTGTCTTCATGACGCATTTCCAATCGAATTTACCGCCGCGTTTCCAGCGCCAGCAGCAGCAGCAGCAACAACAGCAGCAGCAATTACCACGCGGTGGACTCGAGAAGAGCGCATCGGCCAGTAGCGCCTTCGAGAACAGCAACTCACGCTATCTCCAAAAGGGTGGCAGTGGCAACGGCTCCAGCGGTAGTGGTGGTAGTAGCGCAGGCAGCGGTGTGCGAAGCATCTCTGGCGGCTATGCGCGTGTGGGCAGCAGCGGCAACTATGGACGCAATCGTCATGACAGTGCCAGAGGCGAGGAACAGGATGCTACAGCAATTGGAGCATCCAGTGCACGCGATTTGGAGCAGTCCAGATATACGCGTGGCCAGGATTATCGCAGTGGACAGCAGCAGCAGCAGCAATTGATGCAATCGCGCAGCATCTCAGAGAATTCGCATCGCAAGACGAGCGTTTCCTCCGGCGATGATGTTCTCATGGGTGGTGGCTCGTGTTCCTCTTGGGCGGAGCAAACTGATGCCGAACAGAAGCATCATCGTCATCGCGAGGAAAGCTTTTCATCTACGCACAGCCACGATTCAGCCGTACAGATAAAAATACTGCAGCGGCCAGCACGTCAGCCCAGCCTCAGCGAGGAGAAGCCCCTCTCAGTTGGAAGCAACACGCTTCAGAAGCAGCCATTAGAGTCCATGCAGCCCATTCAGCCTACACAGATATTGAGACGCAGCGTTGAGCCCGTTGACAAGTTGGAGGAGAAAACCATTGACCGCGAAGCTGGCGACAAGGGCGCTGAGACAGAGGCAGCCAAGTTAGCAGGATTCACTACTGTCAAGGATGATGACAAGGAGGCGTCGCGAAGCTCAGCGATATCTGCCACGGCAACATCCGCATCACAGTCTGCGGCTAGCAAGCGACCAAGTCCACGGGGTGGTCGCGGCGGGCGTGAGGAACTGCATACGACGAGGGGCGCGGGCAGAAGCTATCCGGCCAGTGGTGCTGGTGGTGGCAGTTATCGCGGACAGCGCAGCAACAGCGACTGGAGCAGTCGCAACAGCACTGGTGCAGGCAGCAGCGGCCGTCGCTACTATGGCAGTGGCGGTGAGCAGTCCGAGCAATCCGAGGACGTAGACGAGGATTGTTACAGCAGCGGTGGTGGTGGCGGCGGAGCGTCGCGACGCAGTCCAAAAGTGCAAACGCGCTCTGATCAAAGCAGCAACAGCAGCGGCTCAGGTGTCACGACCACTACCACCGGCCAATCAGCAGCAGCTGGAGTGGGAGCAGGTGTTAACAAGGCCGGCTTTTCGCCAAGAGGCGAGCCGTCGCGACGCGGACGTGGTGGTCTCTCTAGTGGCGGCAGCTCGACGTCTGGTTTCCGACGCCAGCCAGCGAGTGGAGGACGTGCGTATGGCCGTTTGGGTTACGAGGAATATAGCAAGCAACGCAACTCAGAATCGGAAGCGGGCACATTGTCGGACCTAGACAAGACCAAGCAGAATCAGCTGGCGCTCAGTGCAGGACTGCACAAGGGCAAGGACGAGAAGGAGGAGCTGTTGATTGACAAGGACAAGAGTGGCGGCAGCAGCACCAACAACATCATAAGCAACATTAATATACCCAACACTGCCGTGGCCAAGGAGGAGCCACACAAAGATGGGCTTGCAACAGGACCAGCATCGGGAACTGGTACAGCAGCAGGAGCCAGGCCGCCGCCAGGACTGAGCACAGCTGCTGTCGCCTCTGTTGGAATGCCTCTATTGGCTGCCCCAGGCAGCGATGTGTCTGGCAAAAAGAAGACTAGCGAATGCACAACAATTGCGCCGCCAACGGCAGCAACAGCAACAACAACAGCGCCAATCGGCGACAAGTCCAAGCTATCGGTCATTGGCGACAAGAGCGCCATTGGTGTGGGCGTGGTTGGAGCTGGCAATCTTTTGATAGATGCCAATGCTCCAGTGAACACCATCATCTTCGAGAACTCCACGTATAAGCAGCAGCAGCAGCACCAAGTGGCAGCCACTGTGCCACTCAAGCAGCAAACCCTGGGAGGAGCAGTTGCCGCCGCAGCCGTCGAAAGCTTATCGAGTGCGCTTTCGCAGATGAGCTTTGGCGGCAATGACGATGAGCAGCAGCAGCAGGACATGAAATTGGGCTTTAGCTTCAGCGATGATGCTGCTTCTCTCAAGGTAGTTGACAGCCTGGAAGCGGCCAGCAAGGCAGCCACTCAACACCAGCAGCAGCAGCAGCAACAACAGCATCAACAGCAACAACAACAACAACAACATCAGCAGCAGCAAAATAACTCTACGGCTGATCTGAACATGAAGATAGCGAGCGTGAAAAAGGTGTGGGAATCGGCCACGCCCATGTCGGAGGCAACTCAACAGCCAAGCCATACGGGTAGTGCACAGCAGCAACAGCAGCAGCAGCAACAGCAGCAGCAACAACAGCAGCAGCAGCAGCAGCAGCAGCAACAGCAGCAACATCACCAGCAGCAGCACTCGCAACAGCAACAACAGCAGCATTCTCAACAGCAACAGCAGCAGGCAGCAGCTGCAGCTGCGGCAGCTGTTGCTGCCGTTGCCCAGCAACAACACGCGCAGCAACAACAGTCGCAGCACAGCCAACACGGACAGCAGCAGGTCTCGAGCTCAGTGGTGGATGACAGTGGCAGTCATATAAGTGGTGCATCTTTTGTAGCCGCTGTGGCTGCCTCACAGCAGCAGCTCCACCAGCAACAGATGTCCCACTATGCCGTCTCAGCGGTGCACATGCAGGGCCATCACCAGCAGCAGCAGCAGCAGCAACAACAGCCCTCACACCATCAGCAGCAGCAACAGGCACATCATGCTCACCATGCATTGTCTTCGCCGGGACCAGTCTATGGCAGCCACGGATCGCCCTTCGACACTGGATCGCTGGATCAACAATTCCAGCAACAGCAGCAGCAGGATGACTATCCCAGCCCGCAGCAGCAGCAACATTCGCAACAGCATCAGCAGGTGAAGGCCAAGCAGCTGCACGCTGGCCTGGGCATGTCTCCGCCGCCTAGCCATCAACAGCAACAGCAGCAACACTCGCAGCAGCAGCAACATCAGTCACAGCAGCAGCAACAGTTGCCGTTCTATCAGGCATCGCCGCAGTTTGGCGTCGGCGGCATTCCAACGATTCCCAGCCCGCCGGCGGTTGTGTTCAATTCATCGCAGTTGGCGCCGCCGCCACCACCATCGCAGGCGGGCAATCTGTACGCTTCATTCCATTCGCTTGATCATTCGAACCGCTCGCCCGCATACTCAGCGGCCGCCGCCGCGGCGCATTGCCTGCCCGGTCATTATGCGGCCGCAGCAGCAGCGGCAGCCGCTGGCGGTGCCTTCAATGCGTACGCCATGCAAACGCCGCATGGCCATGGCGGCAATATGCCGCCACCGCCTACAGCGCCTACGCCGGACATGTACTCCAATATGCCGTCGCAGTACCGGATTGGTAGTGGGCCTTTTGGCCAACCGCAGCCCAATTCGCAGCAGCTGAACAACCCCAATGCTGCCGCCGTAGCCATCATATCCTCGAACAGCAGTTCCATGATGTCGTCGGGCGCGGCCAAGCCGCCGCCGCCCAGTCAACAGCCCATCGGAGCAATTGGCTCCAAGTCGGCGGGCAGTGGGGGCGGTCCTGGACCTGGGCCCGGACCCGGTCCGGGCCCATATACAACTGCCCAGCACTACATGAATATATATGCCGGACCGCATCCAGGCCAGGGCGGACCACCGCCCGGCACCCATCAACTGCAGTCGAACAGCTACTACTCAAATTCGGCACCCGGAGGTCCGAGCGGTCCCCAGTACTATGGCGGCCCATCTCAGGGCGCCGGGGGTGGGGCTCAGAATTATGGACTGGCCACCGCGGCTGGCATGTACGGCGGCCATCAAGGCGGCCCGCCCGGCTCCAATGGTCCTCCTGGTCCACAGTCACAGCACACGATGAGCAACTTCAACACGCAGTTCATGAACTCACAGCTTTTATCGGCGGCGGGCATGAGCCAGTTCCGCAGTGGGCCGACGCCCGGCGGTGGCTACCTGAAAAACAGCCAAGGCCAGGGACACATGCAGGACTCGGTAAGGAGTGAACCACGACCACTATCAACCACACACACAACACTCTCTAACTACCATAATCTGCCCATGTTTAACCACATGAAGACCCAATCCCCCAGCAATTTGTATTAAGTTTGTACGCTTTTGCCCAGTCACCGCAGTTTCGCATTCAATCGCAGAGCCAGTCTCTACTCTGGGGATCGAGATATTTGTCATAGAACTAAATATCAAATTATGTGCACATTAATTTAAATAAAAGTATCAAGTAAAGAGTTTTCAAAAACTAGATCGAAACGAAAAACCAAATAAAAATGTTTACATAAAGATGGTGGAGCTGGCCCAGCTGTCCGCAATGGGCCGAAGATTCAGTACCCAAGCAGACTTGCAGTCCATGGATCTGTCAATGGATGCGAACATACACAGACATACAGACATGATATCGTAGTCCAGATTATGAAACCTTTGATAAGTGATTGATCGAGGTCAGGTTTAGCACGTCGATTTCAAGTCAAGTCGATTTCCAAACATGAGAGGAGCTTGGCTCGTCGTCACATATTAATGAAGTAGGGGCAAAGGGAGAGTGAATATAGTTCGCCTCTTCGATAATACACTATCTTTTCTGGGTCTTCAGGGCTTGTCGGAAATCCAAGATGATGAAATGCTGTTCGGCCTAAAGAAAAGCGGAGCTCATATCAATGATGTGGTAGCAATCCCGCAAATTTCTCTTTCTCTCTCTCTCTTTCCCTCTCTCTCTATTTCGCATGTGACTGATTTTCTGTCCTCAATCGATCATTATCAATAATTGATAAGCTTAGGCACACTTATGTCCTCGAGGAGTCCGTCAACGTGCTGCGCACACGGTGCCATTTGTATTGCTATCTAATACATTTCCCATTACTTGCAGATGGGCAGACAACTGAAGAGTCCATTGAGCGCTGACATGAGCCTGGGCCTGGCCAAGCAGGGGCAGTCGCAGCCTAGTCCGCCGCATCACAAGAACTATGGCGGCGTAAGTAGCCTTAACGGCAGCGGCAACAACAACGGCAGCAGCTCGCAGCCCGGCAACCGATTCACTGACCCTTCTCAATTCTTTCATGCGCAGTGGGACCTGCAGAATCAGGTGCTGCAGCAACAGCAGCAGCAGCAACAGCAGCAACAACAACAACAGCAGCAGCAATCTCAGCAGCAGCGTCAGGGTGGCAACGGCAGCAACATGAATGCACTTGGCGGTCGCGGCAGTGGTGCCGTGGGCACTGGCTCCGGCGGCTCTCAGGTGGTGGGTGGTGGTGGCAACGGTGGCGTTGGCAGCGTGGGGCAGAGCAGCGGCAGTGGCCAGGGTCGATATCCGGCGCCAATACAGCGACCAAACAACTATCCACAGCATCCGCAGCAGCAGCAGCAGCAACAGCAACAACAGCAACAGCAGCAACAACAGCAACAACAGCAGCAGCAGCAACAGCAACAGCGCGAACAGGCAGCGGCGGCGGCGCAGCGCGCCCAAAGCATGCGCCAAGTGACTGGAGGTGGCGCAGCCGGCAGTGCCGGCAATAGCAACGCGCCCGGCGTGCCACCTGGCGCCAACGGCGGCCCTGGTGGCCCAGGCGGAGCCGGCGGCGGCAACTCCCCCGCAGCAGCGGCTACGGCGCAGCTCAGCAAGCCCTACTATTCAAATAATGCGGCGGGCGCTGGCGGCGCCAACCGTGGTGAGTGGCATGCCAATTGAGCCTCCGATCGAACCAATGGCGGCATCGCCCAGTAAACCCCTCGCACACACAAACACACTCACACACACAGATCTTCACATACACACACATACACGCAGACATAGATCTACATACAATGGCGCGATTCAGCAATGAATCATTGAAGCGACAACGCAAGCGAAATATTTACTTATACATACATAATACACACATATACACACACATATATAAACGTATATAACACTAAATAGAACAACGGGAAGAGCAGAAAACGCGAATTATTAGCGAAAGCAACAAACAATGAGAGAAACGAACTAACAAAAGCGCAAAAATAATTAAATCTTCAATAAAAGAAATCGAAAAAAAAAAAAAACAATAAAATACAAAAAGTCAGCTAAGGCCGTAAAATCGTAAAAAAAAAAACAAACAAACTGCAAATATGAAAAAGTAACAAAAAAATACTAAAAATAAAAAATAAATAAGTTTAAAGAACAGAAGAAGAACAAGAACACCTTGATGTAAAAATCAAATTGAGGGCATGTTTGAAGCAGCGCAACCCATGCCAGGCCACGCCCATAAAACAAAACAAACAAGCAAAAAACAAGAACACGAGGAAGAACAATGCGAGAAAAACGTGCGAAGAAAATTGCAAACAAAACAAATGCAACAAAACTGAAAAAAAAATCGAGTATGAAAAAAGTAATTTATAGTTTAGTTGGGTTATACATACACACACGTACACATATACACACACATACATATACATATATAAACATATGGATTGAATCTGCAGCTGCGTTAAAGTAATTAAAACAATTGACAAATGCCAATTCCCAAATACACACACACACACACACACAAACACAAACACACACACACACACACACACAAACATACACACACAAACACACACACAGCAAAACAGTAACAAACAATATTATGCTTTTCATTTATTAATATTCACATAAATCTATTTTATATTATAATTATCATTTTTTTTAAAATGTATTGTGTTAACTTTTAGCGTTTAGTTTATGTTAAAACAAAAAAAAAAAGAAACAAACACAACAGAACGATAATTAAATAGAAAGCTGAGTGTATTTTTTGTCAAACAAATTTACATACATACATACATTTAGACACATACATACATGCATACATACACACATACATACAAACGTGCATACACACATACAAACATACATACAAGCATAAATATATACTTATTATTTTCATTGTAGTCAGCATTTGCTCTTGATTCAATTTTTTGTTCTCTTAAATTGTTTGTTTTGTAACTGCAACAATTGGACTTACTATAAATAATTGTTAATTATGATTATGCTACAATTATTTAAATTATATACACACATATAAAATTATATACATATGTGCAACAATCTCATGATATCGCTATCGTCATCGATATCTGTGCAGAAGGAGACACACAAGCTTCGAAGTTTGTTCAAGCGCCAAGTAGAAAAGTAATGAAAACATAATTTGTGAATATCCAACACCAAGAATTAATCAACGTCACAAGTCGGACTTACCGGGGCTCAATATACCCTGTTAATTCAATACTACGCACACACACACACAAAAAGCAGACACACACACACATGCATACGTATAAAACTCAACTTCGACTTATAAAAGTGTTCACATATGATGGCGCTCGGGTGCCAGCCAGTGCTGCCCATCGCCTTTTACTTATGCTGGTATGACACCTACTGATTATTTGCTAAGTGCAAACGTTTTTTTCACCAATTGATCGCAATTGTAGCCACTTTTAGAGCTTAGAGCGAGCAATGATGGGGTATGTGCCAGTGTTGCTGCAGTCGTCGCAGCTGTTGCCGCTGCCGCTGCTGTTGCAAATATCTATTAGTATTAACCCTCCCCCTCGCCCACTGCATCACAGATCCGTTTTAAGATCGGGGCTGGAGCTGAGGGGGTGGAGATGAAGAGAGGGGAGTGGGAACTGGAGCTGGCAAATCGGAACTGTAATCTTATATAGCATTTTTTTTTGTTGCATGTGCTCAAATGATAAATTGGGCCTAAAAAAAAAACTGCAAATGATTATGAAACTGTAACTTTACATGGATATAGCATATGCATAAACATACAGAGACGCACTCACACACACACACACCCAATCACTCACAGACAAACAGAAAGTCACGGACACATAATATATAGAACAAACATCTAAGTGAATAAAAGAACACTCCAATTTTTAATGAGAAAGCCCCACACACATACAATTAATATTGATTACACACATATTATGCGATAAAAAGTAGTAGAAAAAATATTGAAAGGACAAAACCGATAGATAACAAGCAACTAAAACATACCTTAAACATCTATGTATACATATATATATAAATGTAAATATATATATATATATATACATAGGAGTACATTTGTATGTATTTTCGCACTTCGCTCGGCTGCTGCTGCTAAAATTCAAATCAAATTTTAACGCATACATACGATATATGTTGTTTTGCCAGGGCAAGCGGTTTAGTTATTAACAAAAAGAAAAACATAAAAAAAAAACAAAAATGAAATCCACAAGCAGATGCTGATGCAGATGCAAAATGGCCAGCGCTTGCTATTACACAATACATGTAAAAGATATATTTTATAGCTATAGCATAAACATAGAAATGATAAAATTATTAATTTATATATACGTATATATATATATTTTAATTGCATATATGGTTTTTCGTCTCTATCTCTACCAAGCAACAAGTCAAGTACATGGGCATATAATACATACATACACGTACATATATGTAAACCATTTTTACATTCGATTCATTCAAATTAATTTTTAGACATACTGAAATTTCGAAAAACTGAGCTAAAACAAAATAAAAAAATGAAAAAAAAAAACAACAAACCTTAAAAAACAAAAACAACCCAAAACGGAACATTTAAAGCAAGTTCGATTAAATGAAATAAAAACTTTAAATAAATAAAATATTTAAAACAAAATAATACCAAAACCTAATTTAGAAATTTGCGATTATTCAACTTTAACACGATCTGGCAACCACTTAGAGCGAGAAGTTCGCTGACTGTAGACGAGAGCAGGATAGCCTGTTCAGCGATGCTAAGGATGGCAGAGTGACACATGACAGTGCGCCAGGCCAGTTAGTGGCAATCCAAATAGTTTGCAGGTGAAATTCCGTTTGCCAGCAAGGAAGTCGACTGTAGCCGAGAGACGGCGTTTTTACAGCAAGCCATTCTGCCATTCTGGTGACGCCAAATGATAAGCATTTGCATAAAAGACCCACTGGTAGTCGTTGATATCATAGGTCTCATGCTATGCAATTGCGGCAGTCGATGCTCTCGTGAAGTCTGTCTGTCCGTTACATGTTTGTTAACATTACATAATGAAATGCAGTGTGCTTTCCGTGTTAGATATTTAAATTGTTTATTCCTTTAAGATGTTGCACTACACATATGTGAAATATACATGGCTATTGTCCTGTACCTGCTGCCAGTTACTGGGAGCCAGGAGAACAAGCACGTCTAATAGGCTGCACAAACTAGGGTACGTCATCTACTTCTTCTTTGGTTTCAAGATCTGGTAGGCGATGAGCAGGCCCATGACGGCGTACGTAGCTTTGGCCACCTGTAACATGTCACGGTATCCAAATTAGCAACTCGTGAAAACTTAAAAGTAGTTGGATGTTGGATGGGCTCTACTTACATTGGCACGGCCGGCCATGGTTGTGCCATTGAAGATTTTTGACATGCCGGTCAGCTTCTCTTGTTCACCAGCCATTGCTAGAAATGTTAGGTAAATTTTTAATTTTAGTTTTAGTCAGTTAAGTGACTACTGCGTTTACTCACTTTCGATTTGTTTTGCGACGAATTGAAACTACAATTGCGAATAAAAAATACGAATAGGTTATACAACTGTGCCTGTGCTGCCAATACGTGCGGATCTCGTGTTGCGTTGCCACCTAACGCAACGAATGCTGTCGATGCAGCACTGCGTATATTATCGATAGCTGTTGTCGTGGGCGCTTAATTTAAAGTAATTTAAACACAAAAGAAATTGAGAACAACGTAAAAGTTGTGCACTGCATATATTAACGGTTAATAGTAGTTGCCCTAATTGCATAGCTTTCAAAACTGGGCGCGAGTTAAATGTCAATGGCAGCTTTAGCAAATCTCACCTAATTGCAAGGATTAAGGGCTTATAATATGCTCATTAAAATTATATAGTGCAGTCTGAGAACCGGCGCAAGTGAAAAAAATCCTGAGCGTAAATTACAAAGCGCAGCCATCAAGCGTTGTCATTGAAGCCGCCGTGAATACCTCGAATAGCTCTTCAGCTCTAAAATGGCATATAATGCAAGCATATTAAATTAAAGACCCGCCCGCTCTTCAAAGGTGCTAGACAATTAATTCTATGCCTTCGGCGGCCAGTTGCAGCGTCCACAATTAAGGTCGTATGTCAACTTGTTGCCACACCCACTTCTCAGAGTGTGTGTGTGTGTGTGTGCATATGTGTGCATATGTGTGGAGGTCTCGTGAAGAATATAAAAGTCATTTACATGCTGCCAACTGCACGAAACGACGGCGGCAATGGATGCAGCTTACTTTCTACGTGTGCAGGTGCTGACATTTCGGCTAATGGGCTTTGACTTGTGGAAGAGCAACAGCACGAACGATCATCCGCAGATAACGCTCGTGGTCATCGGCATGATGAGCACATTTTTGGGTCCATTGTTCTTTTCCATACTGCATAACCTGACCAATGTGAGCATCATGAGCGATGCTATGGGCTCCCTGCTGGCCATTATTCTAACCGTGGTCAAGTATGCGGTCTTTGTGTATTATCGGAAGCACTTCGTTCAGCTGATCTATCGCATACGCGACATACTAGAGAATGGTAAGTGTTGGGGCTAAACTCTGATTGATATCCTGCTAATTGCGAGTGCTGCAGAGATGCGATCATTGCCGGAGGCAGCTGCCATTGTGGAAACGGAGAACCGCAGCGATCAATGGCTGAGCTTGACGTACATGCGCTGCTTCTTTGCAGCGTGCATTTTTGCTGGCATCAAGCCGATGGTTATCATGATAACGACGCGGCTGCGGACGGGTCGCACTCACCTGGAGCTGCCGCATTCGGGCGTCTATCCGTGGAGCGACCAGGCCGTGTTTCCATATGCGCCCACTTACTTCTGGAACTTGATGGCCAGCTACGGTGCGGTGACCATGTCCCTGGCCATGGACACGCTGCTCTTTGCGTTCACGTACAATGTTTGCGCAGTCTTTAAGATAGCCCAATATCGGATTCGGCACCTGCTGCCTATGGACGACGCGCCGCGGCGCGAGTTGGCGGAACTGGTGCAGGTGCTGCAGCTGCATCAGATTGGTTTGCATATTGGCACCCAGTTGGGCCAGAGTCTGCGACCCCTGGTGTTTATGCAGTTCTTTGTGACGGCGCTGCAGCTGTGCTTTCTTGGCTTTCAGCTGGCCGACCTGTTTCCCTCGCTGGAATGCATCTACTTTGTCTTCTTTGTCAGCTCGTTGCTAATTGCTCTGTTCATTTATTCGCACTGCGGCGAGAACATGAAACAGGCCAGTGCAGACTTTGCCATTGCGCTCTACGACAGCAACTGGGTGGACTTTGCCCCAGCCACCAAGCAGGCGCTCATCTTGGCCATAATGCGAGCCCAGCGCCCCTGCCAGCTGAATGGCTACTTTTTCGAGCCGAACATGGCCACCTTTTCAGCGGTGCGTAGCTGAGGCCTCCGCGAATGGCTAACTAACCAATATCCACATCTGTATTGCAGGTGGTTCGCTCGGCCATTTCCTACGTTATGATGCTGCGCTCGTTCAATGCGACAGGCCAGCAGTGAGTGAGGAACTCGATACTCAGCTTGCCTTGCGGAGCTCCTGCTTAGCTTTAATTATGGCAAATAAATTGACGTTCTTTGCTCTTTAATAGTGGTAATTGAAATGCAACCGAATACGCAATGCTTACGTCGCTCTCGCGTTGGCAGCTCCGAGACGGCTCCGCTGCCTCTTAATAACCAGCAGCAAGCAGCATGGGTAAAGGATGTGCCAGACATCAAACGAAGCCAAGGCTCAAATATCACAGATTACCTGTGTTTGCAAGAGGCAAGAGGCTGCAAGTAGCTGGATGCCATTATGCAGCCGGGCTGTGTTAACAGCTTTTTCCAGCTCCAACATCTATTGATGAGCTTAGCAGGGAAATATTCGAAAATATCACGTATACGCAATGTTGCGCAGCATAATAATTATTACTGTTGTTGCACAAGTGCAGCTGGCAGCTGGCAGCTGGCAGATGGCTGCTGCTGCTGCTGCTGCTGCTTCGAGTCGCATTTGACAACTTTATTGAATATTCGACTTTGTTAGCAAATCAACTGCAACACTCAATAGGCTGTTAATTGGATTGTGTAAGCCATGTTTTCTGCCATCGTCCATGGACTGCATCGGATATATGAACTGCATTTGTCTGCCCGCCCGAGACGTGACACATGTCAAATTTCTTCCCGTGGATGCAGTTTGTTAGCCCGTCGCGTGCATTTAATTATGTTCTTTTGTGCTCAGTTGTGCACTGGCTATTGCTTGTGCTGTCAATTGTCATCAGCTAGCTGAAGGGCAAAAGGGCCGCCGAGTTATGCGTTACCTGTTGAGGCACTGCCTAAAACTTTTGTTCTCTGCCAACTCAATTAGTGCGCCATAAATAACTCAAATAAAGCATTTCGACGGAGCTGCACCATGTCCAGCTGCTGCTGATGCTGACTTCTGCTCCTGTTGCTCTTACTGCTGTCTGGCTGAAAAGTATGATAATACGAGCTATTGTTTTGGGTAACGACATTGCATCTGCCCCTGCCGCTGTCATTGCTGTTTTTAGGCGAAAATGCGTCGGCGTCGAACCGACTGTCAAACAATAAAAAGCCACGCAGTCTGCATATAAAAATGCATGGCAGTCCTTGCTCTGGCTCTGGCTCTGGCTCTTTCAGCTTGTTGCGTATGCCACGCAGCATACGCGGTCGGCACTAAAGTGCATATTTAGCAAAAATCAAAAGTTTTGCCTTCAAAAATATACCTTGATTAAACAGTGTATGGAAATAACATGCTCTCTCTCGCTCACTCACTCCCACTGCAGGCAAAGTTGGAAAAGTTTGGCTTAATTAAAAAGACGTGCAACTGCTTGCCAGTGCGCGGTTCGTAGGTATTTACACAGTGCAATGTTTCGTTGCCATAGCAAACATTTGACCTTTCCCTTTGTTCACATATGCAGACAGCAACAACAGCAACAACAGCAACAGCAGCAACAGCAGCAACAGCAGCAACAAAATACTGTGACTGTGTGCATTTCTGGCTTGATTAACGTCAATTTTTTTTTCGAATTCGTAATGGAATTAACTAAGAAAATAACCATGGCAGCCAAAAGTGTGAACGAACCCGCTACCCGCCGACGCGAGCCCACCAAACACCAGCACCAGAAATAATTCCACCCTTAGCTATGTTGCATGTGCATAAAGCAAAGCAATTAATTTAAATGCCAGAGTCAGGAATTTTTTGCTGCCGTGATCTGATTCTCATTTAAAGCTGAAATACTCTGCTACAGTGAGAAGAATTTTAGCTTCGGCCCGTCGCTTCACTTCTCTTGTGAAATATTAAAAATGAATGCTGAAAGCGCTGCTATTGTTCCGCGGTGCCACTGCCATTGCCACACAGCCTTTGGCCATAGATTGCGCTAATCCAAGCCGCAGATTGCCAATGCGTCGGGTCGGCTGCAGCAAAGAAGGCAATTCAGAGCCTACTGTGATTCGGATGAGCTTTGCCGTCACTGCTCAGGAATTTTTACTGTGCAACAGCAGCCAATTGCCAACGCTAATTAGTTGAATATTTATGCACAATTCGATGGTCAAATTAGACAAGCGAAGAAGTGCAGTTTGCCGAGTCGAATTGCTCGCATTGTGTTTGATGCCAAGGCTTTTTCTACCTTGCTTTAAATTGAACATTTGAAATATTCAATTTCTGCCGTTTGAGCTCACATATATTCAATATCCCCCCCCCTCTCTCTCTCTTTCTCTTCTTCCACAGAAACAATTATTGCGGGGTCTATTTTCGCAAACAAGGCTAATTAGTTCTGCCTTTCGCCTCACAAAGGAACACAAGCCAGATTGCCCGACTTGGATACAACCAGAACCTTACGCAAAGCTGCAGCTGTAGTTAGGGATGAGGCAGCAAATGTTGCCGTGAATGGGGCGAGGCATTCAGGCTGCAGTTGAAAATATTCATGAGAAGATTTGAGCTAACATTTTTCAGGAACTAAGCTCCACTATCGATTTTTATCGATTAAGCAGGGCCAGTATTGCTGCGCCTATTCGAAGTCTATAGCGCCTTAGGGCACTCCGACCGCCGTCGATGTGGTCTGCTTCATGTTACACTCATTTGCCCAGAAATATTATACCTCCAATTAGCATTGACGTTGCGCTGAAGACAAACAATTGGTTTTCGGAGCTTGCCGCACGTCAGATGTGTCAATAGTGCTGCATAGCCTGCATAGCATAGCCTGACATGTGAAATGAACAATAAATACAAGATTGGGAGAACTGAATTGTTTGTTTTCATTGAAATCATTCCCGTTCATTTAGACTGAATAGAGACAGCTATTTCATATTAACTGCTGCGCAGCGGGTGACGTTTGAGCTCGTGTGGGCGCATTTTAAACCATAATTGCAAATATTTAGAGAAACATATTTAAACGAATAAAAGAGACACCGATACAGCGAGGAGGGGACCCTGCCTCAACCTTCTCTGGAATGCCTTGTAGTGCGAGTCAATGAATTATTCAGCTTTAAGCAAACAAAAAACATGAAAATACGTCAAAATGCGACGAATATGAGCCGTGATATCCTACTGTTTCTCTATTCTTTCATTTATCTTTATGTCTATCTTAATCCTTCTCTGGTCTCTGGTCTCTGTTTTCTGTTCTCTAGTCTCTAGTCTCTAGTCTCTAGTCTCTAGTCTCTAGTCTCTAGTCTCTAGTCTCTAGTCTCTAGTCTCTAGTCTCTAGTCTCTGGTTGCTAGTCTCTAGTCTCTAGTCTCTGTCTCTGTCTCTGTCTCTGTCTCTGTCTCTGTCTCTGTCTCTGTCTCTGTCTCTGTCTCTGTCTCTGTCTCTGTCTCTGTCTCTGTCTCTGTCTCTGTCTCTGTCTCTGTCTCTGTCTCTGTCTCTGTCTCTGGTCTCTGTCTCTGTCTCTGTCTCTGGTCTCTGTCTCTGTCTCTGTCTCTGTCTCTGTCTTTGTCTCTGCCTCTGGTCTCTGTCTCTGTCTTTGTCTCTGTCTTTGTCTCTGTCTCTGTCTCTGTCTCTGTCTCTGTCTCTGTCTCTGTCTCTGTCTCTGTCTCTGTCTCTGTCTCTGTCTCTGTCTTTGTCTTTGTCTCTGTCTCTGTCTCTGTCTCTGTCTCTGCCTCTGTCTCTGTCTCTGTCTCTGTCTCTGTCTCTGTCTCTGTCTCTGTCTCTGCCTCTGGTCTCTGTCTCTGTCTCTGCCTCTGGTCTCTGTCTCTGTCTCTGTCTCTGTCTCTGTCTCTGTCTCTGTCTCTGTCTCTGTCTCTGTCTCTGTCTCTGTCTCTGTCTCTGTCTCTGTCTCTGTCTCTGTCTCTGTCTCTGTCTCTGTCTCTGTCTCTGTCTCTGTCTCTGTCTCTGTCTCTATCTTTGTCTCTGTCTCTGTCTCTGTCTCTGTCTCTGCCTCTGGTCTCTGTCTCTGGGTATATCTTAGTCGGTCAAAACGCACTCGCACTGGTTGCAATTAGTTTTGCTAAGCACAAGCTGACCACTAATTATGATGTTTCAGTCAGAGTAATTGCAGCTAATGTCGCATACTCCTCTTTATTTAGCCAAGTCGAAAAAGACGTTGCTACTTGTTGACGTAAGTCATGAGAAAATGGAGTCAGGAGTAACCTAAAACGTAATACGATTGACAGGTAGGGTAGGTATGTCTAGAGTATTTCCGTATTACATATACGTCTTACCCAGTTGAGGTGGCTGGGTGTCTGGGTGTCTGGGTGGCTGGGTGGCTGGTGGCTGGCTGCTAGAATTTACTCCTAATTGCGAACACCAAAAGCTTTCGGAGTCGACTAACAGCTGGTGGCGCTGTTAACGCACTTAACAGCGATACGAACAATCAACAGCTGGCGAACAGAAAAGCAGGAAGCAACAGTCGTGGCGCTGCTTCTCGGCTGCTGTTTCTGCTGCTAGCGAACAATTTAAAATAACGTGTCCTGCTGGCAAGCGACTTCAGTTCCTGTCAAGCCTTTGTCGGTTACGTTTGCCCAGCTGCAACGAACCGAAGTTAGCCAAGCAGTCAGTCAGAATAACCAAGTTCAATTCTGAATATCCAAAGTCAACCGAAGAGCTAAAGGCACAGTCTGCAGAGATTTGGAAGAACACCTTTTCAATAAATATTGTGACATCTATACATATATATATGTAGATATATATATGTAGTGGAGTGTGAAGTCTGTAGAGTACTAAAGCCTAGAAAATCAGTAAAACTCAAAAATTGGAACTCAAAAATTGTGAAAGTCTAGTCAAAGGTTTGAAATTTTTTTGTTGTGCTAAGAACTAATTTTTTTTTCGAGTGCTTGAAGTGTGATTGAAAAACGTTAAATATCTATATATATTTATATATACCTTGTGTATATATATCCATAAATCTAATTTAGTGCGTTAAGTTTCAAGAAAAGCATTCAAATGTATTGCGTATTCTCAGCGTTTTTCGCGTGCATTGTGTGCGTCTTGTGTGTCTGCTTGTTGGGGTAATGATCAGGCCAACACCAACACCTACACCAACACCAACACTAACACCAACACCCACACCACCACCAACACCAACTCCACCACCAACACCAACACCAACTCCACCACCAACACCAACCTCAACACCTACACGAACACCAAACCAAGACCCACAACGACAAGAGCCCAAGCGACAATAATAATATTTACTAATCTGACTGACTGACGTTTCGACTCTCTGTCCGTTTGCGTTCGCTTCACTGTACTGTCCGTGTTTATTGGCGTTCGATTGACGCTTGTTTCTGTTGCTGCCAGCAGTCGCGTGGCGTTCGATTGGCCGGGCAAGGTATTTATTTAATAAAATAGCCAAGATGCTCTCCTTGGCCTTTCTTACCACTGTTACATTTTATTCGGTCATCAGCAGGTTGGCCCTGTGCATATCCTGCTTCTATTTGATGGGGCGTCAGATTACGCTCCTTCTTTTTGTGCTCTCGTTTATTTGCTTCTTGGTTAATTTTGCCATCTTTTCATATTTGATGGGCATGTGCTTGTGCGAATCTCTCTCGCTGGCCACCTCTTTGTCGTTGGCCCTCTGCCTTATTTTCAGCGAATAGCGACCTGGACGTGTCCAGCGCGCTCAGTTATAAGCGCTGACTTGCCGCTAGACAAGTCAGCGATTCGCATTTATTTCTATGCTGTTTGTTGGTCCGCCTTTTGTTATTTTTTGTTATTCACCCACCCTCCCGTCCTCTGCGCCAGCTCGGCTGCTTTTCGAATTATTCATATGCAAATGCTGTGCAAAGCTCTCGCTTATGATATGCGCTTTCCCAACCGCACAGCCTCTGTCTCGCCGGCTTGGGCTGTCAGTCGTGCTCTGCTCCCTCGGCGGCAGCTGTGCGCTTTTCACTTGCCATTTTCGCTTTCAGCAGCTGTTCTTTTTTGTTTTTACTTTCGCTCTCACTCGGTGTCTATCGCTTGGCGCTGCCACACTGACCTGCTGCCCCGTTTTGGTGCAGTGTGCATAAAGTGTAGCATACTTATCTGCGTTCGCGCTTTTTTCGTCCCCAATCGGGGGCAAATTGTTGAGCGTGCGCCCAATTTATGAGCACTACGCTAATCTAATCGCTTTCCGCACATGTCACGCTCATCCATTCGCACAATTAGCCAGAGCTCCAGCTCTTCAAATCATATTATTCATATATATAAAAATATCTATTCCAACTGGCTCTCATTTTGCTGCCCGTTCAATCGACCACTTGTTGGCCGAGCGACTGTTGCTGTCACATTGGAACGCATGCAAAATGGCTGCGTTTTCCTTTTGCCTTCGCTTCGCTTTTGCTCTCTTTGCCAGCGGACACCGCAGTGTGGTTCATGTGGCTGAACCGCAGATTCTTGGCTGCCTTTTGGCACTTGTCGCATTCACACAAATCACAGAACTCCCAACAATTAGTTGTAATTAGAAACTGAAGCTCCGCAGTGCTAAAGGGCTTTAAGGCTGAACACATTTGGCAGTCGAACTGCAAATAATTTACACATTAACAGTTGGCACTGCTGTCTAAATTAAATGTTTGTCGGTTTATAATATTATAACAAAATATATTTAAGTATATATACATTGATATTTGAAATTGTTTTATATCATTTTAACACTTTAAACATTAGACTGAGTAAGCCAGCTAACTGAAAATTCATTTTAGTGAATCAAAACTGCCCACAATAAGTTCGAATTTCTAGAGAGATAAAGATTTTGATTATATTATAGGTATATCGTTATAGGTAGACTATCAGTTAAAGCCCTCCAGCGATCTGGTGTCTTTTAGTTGTAAAACTGATTCTCCTTCAGCACTTCTTATAACTTACAGCTCAACCAGTTAACACATCAAAAATCTGCCCAAGCGATCCATAACTGCCTCTGATAGGTTATAACTTCTATAGGTGTCCCAAAAGATGGCAATAGCTTATTCCAATGTGTCTACTTATGCAACCAATTCTTAGCCACTTACTCCAACTGGAACTAGTTCTATTTGCGCAGCTGATTCTTTAGAAAACAGTCCCAATATTACAGTCTTATACTCATAGCTTATCCAACACTTCTGCATATTCAACAACTGATTCTATAATCAGTATAACCAATATATCTACATGCAAGTAATTCTTTGCCACTCACTCTAACTGGAACTAGTTCAATTTGCACAGCTAGTTCCGGCTCAAATAAAGTCATAATATTATAGAGCTAAAAACTCAAAGCTTATCCATTCTGCATATTAAACAACTGCTTCAATAGGTGTCTATGGAGTTTGCAATAGCTTATTCCTCTAACTGGAACTAGTTCTATTAGCACAGCTAGTTCCAGCTCAAATAAAGTCATAATATTATAGAGCTAAAAACTCAAAGCTTATCCATTCTGCATATTAAACAACTGCTTCAATAGGTGTCTAAGGAGTTTGCAATAGCTTATTCCAATATATCTACAAATGCAAGCAATGCTTGGTACTCACTCTAACAGGAACTAGTTCTATTAGCACAGCTAGTTCCAGCTCAAATAAAGTCATAATATTATAGTGTTAACAACTCAAAGCTTATCGCACACTTCTGCATATTAAATAACCGAATTTGTCAACACTTTTGAATAAAATCAATTAGATTCAAATATCTCCCAATATATAGGTGTCTAAAATATTACAGTAGCGTATCAAAACATATTCACATATATATATATACAGTTAATATTCACTCTTGCTAGGCTTAAGATCGACGTCCTCAAATGATCAAGCTCCGAACCTGTTTAGCGCTCACTCAAATGGTCGTAATATAGAATTTATGAAAACTCAAGGCTCAAACGAGCTAAAAAGCTGGGCTATGACTTGGTCGTCGGTCTAGCCAACTGGCCGAAAGACTGAGCAGCTGTGAATTGCATTTTTGCAAGCTCTACTTTTAAGGTTTCCGTATTTGGTTCCGTATAATTAGTTATAAGCCACATAAAGTCTTCACATCAACATTTAATTAGGATTATCAAGTTGAGACTCGATTTCGGCTTGTGCTTCAAACTTTCGCAAACTATTTCAACTACATGCAGACAGAAACGAAACCAAACGAAACGAAAATCAATTTTTGTGCAGGTTTTGATTTCATTGACAGCTTCTGGAATGAGACGCAACGAAACAACAATGGGAGAAGTCCCAAACAATGCTAAGTAGCTTGTCAAGGTCTGCCCAATTAGTTTTCATTACAGCTCGTTTTCGTTTGTGTATTTTCATTTCGTTTTCTTTGCTCGAATTTTTAATATTTTGTCTTGGTGACCCGCATGTAGCTGGTGCAAGGAGTCCACCAAGGGCTAGGGCTTTTAAAGGGCTTCATTAAATAGCAATTACAGCACGCTCAGACCTCTCTCTGACATAATCCCCATTCGCGCGCTGCCCACAAAGTTTGCCGCTGGTAGCTGACTCGAATCTCACGCCGAAGCCATAACCTATCAGCTAGACGATGTCGGATCTGCAGGACCAACAGGATACCCTGAGCGGCAGTCAGAGCCAGAGCCAGAGTCAGAGTCAGAGTCAGAGTCGGTCGACGCCATCGGAGTCGTCGGCTCAGCCGGTGACCGAGGAGCAGGAGCCGCCCAGCAGCAGCAACAGCAGCAGCATCAGCGCTGGCCTCGTCGATGGCGATCCGGATATGGATGGAGCTAGGGACCTGGACCGCGACAGGGACCGGGAGCCACATGGCGAGAGGTGAGTCCAAGCCACATTACTTAAGCAGCAATATACATAAATATCTATATAAATATCTACATATATATATTATATATTATACATACATATACTATAGCACACAATTCCATATATACATAACTGTGACTGTCTTTATATGTGTGTAATTCAGCTCCCTGCGTGTTGCTGTTCCTCTGTTAAATATCCATTAGCTAATTGGGCCATCTGCCCAAAGGCCCCAAAATGAGAAACTTTCGTACACTGTATATACCTGAACGTAGACACAAACAACACACACACATTGAAGTAACCAAGAAAAGAAAAACAGTTAACAAAACTAACTCAGCTCAATCTAATGAAAATGCAATCGAATCGTATATCGTATATATCAAATTGAACTTAAGATTATCAGTAAGATGTGCTTGCCAATATTTTCAATATTCATGGTGTTAAAGGACACAAATATACGTTAAGGACTTTCCAATATTTTTTTATAAATTCCACCAAATCTCCCGCTCCTACTCCCGCTCCCACTCCCTCGCCCGCTCCCTTTCACTGTCTCCCTTGTCTGATTATTAAAAACCGTATGGCAACGCCTGAAAGTTCAATGACAGACATTGTGTGGCAACTCTATTTGTCTTTCACTTGACAGTCGGCTGACAGTCTGATTACTTTGATTTCAAGCCTTTTAAACAATTTTTGGTCAAATTGAAAGCTTGTTGTGGCTCGCCCTAATGCGAGTGCTCATGGCATTTGTCAATAGCTTTCGCAATTTTAAGCTGTGCAAATAGACTCAAACATGCAATAGCTCGAAAGTTTTTAAGTCTCGCATTCGGTGCTCGATATTCAGAAATAAATAAGAACTTTTAATAGCCAGCTCTGGCTGCCAGTCAGCAGCTGACGACATGTTTAGCAAAGCTACAACAACGAAGCTACCCACTCAAGCTTACTAAGCGCACACCCACACACACACACACACACACACACACATTTACACTCTCGTTTGTAGTTCTTTTTGTCGATAAGCCTTTACCGTCACGCACTTGGCGCAAAGACACTTTTCATGCTCTGCCTGAATACGTTGTATAAGAGCATATTATCCTTCCATACCAAATGAATACAATTTCTTCTTCAAGTTCTATAGAATTTCTGTTATATATATATATATAATCATGGCAATGTTCTCTAGAGTTTCACAACTTACTTACAGTCAGCAAATGTTAACAATTGAAAAGAGTCAACTCTTAGCTCAGCCACAATAAGTCCAGAGTCCTGCGAGTCTTTTAGAATCAATCTTCACCCGTGATTAACATCGTAGCAGTCACTTGTAGCACAGAGTATTGGCTAGTCGTGAGCAACGCTTTGGATTGCTTCACTTCGTTGTTAATTATGTGCCAATTAGCTGACACACGCGCGCCTCGGAGGCCGCTAAATCGGCTCACCTGGCCTGGTCTGGCCCATTTGCTGTTGCGCACAAAAGCCTCGGGTTGTGGCGCGGCTGTTGTCGTTGCTGGGGTCAACCGGAGTTGGGCCAGCACATAGCAATGGCCCGAGCCATCAAGGTTTCTGAAAAAAGCTAACAAAGCCCGTGTTAAAAATCTTTTAAAGTGCAAAATTCGTGCGACGCCCACTAAAACCGCTTTTGACCCCTTCAAAGATAAAGGGCTTATTGCGTTTTTGTTTGCTATTGCAGGCTGCACGCTGTTTGCTGCACGCTCTTTGTGGACATTCAAACGAAAAAATGAAGCTATGGCTGTCGTGAGGCTTTTCGCTTTTTTGTCACTGCCTCAGCTGCGGCACGTAGAACGCATTTCCTTCACTTGTTTGCTGAAGCCCTTAAGCCTGCCAGCCCAGGTGCGAGCATGCCAGCTGTATTAGGGTCTAAGTCTGAGTGGCCTCCGAGCTGCAGACATCGATGCAAGCAAACAGTCATTTGGCTGCCAATTCCTGCCTACCGACGCTGCGCTTACAATCTGTAGTCGCGCTGCTTGTGTACACAGCGCGCATCAGTTCATTGAACTCCCTTTGTCTCTGCTGCTGGCCAGCCAGCAGTATGTGGCCATGGGATAGAGCTGAGCAATTTGCCAAATGACAGCTGGCATATGTAGATATATAGATTGCGTACCTTCTCGCCTTGCTTTAGGTTTCACTTCTTCAGAAATGCCACAATTGGCTTTCAGTTTCGATTGCGAGTCGACTGCGGCATCAATCGCTTTCCATTTCGATTTGTGAGATTCCTGAAATGTGGAAACAATGGGAACGAAAGCTAACACGCTGAGCACAGAATCACAGAATCACAGAATCACAGAATGGGCTGTGTTGATATAGCCGACAGTTGCCAGAAATTCTCATAGAAGCTGTCGGCTTGATACATCTGATTTCAATAACATCTGTTGGAGCTGGCTAATGAATGGCAGACGATAATCATTTTGTATTAAGTCTTCATATTTCACATTTCACTGTGCCCCAGCGGAGCTTCAAGCGAGAGCATTCATCCTTCATTTTTCAACCACAAAACCGAGCGTCCTGTGCTGTGCTGTGCTGTGCAGATTAATTAAGATTCCGTTGTGGCTTAACGTATACGATGCTTCAGAGAAGTCGGCCAGGAGCGTGCCTCAGGCCGCAGCTAGCATGCAAAATACCTAATAACTAATAATTTCAGATAAGAGTTTAGCAAACCGACGACCCGGCGTCGAGCAGGCTGCCCGGGCAATGGGAACCGACATAGATATACACATGTACTGGCTGCCTGGGCATTGGCGCATTGGAGAGTCCGAGCACGTTTGCTGCTTTTTGCGGACCTTATTGGGATGCTGGGAGGTTGTCTACTGTGGCCGGCCGTTGGCCATGCGCTGCTAATGATGTGGTTAACGGTATGGCTCAATAAATCTGAGCATTGCCACAACTATTCTCTGAGCTGCTCCAATATGAACATTCTAAGGCTGGCTTGGCTACAACTTGTAACGCTCCAGCTGGCAACCTGTTAATTATGCTGTCAAACTGTTGACGGCCGCTGCAGTATGCTGATTATATGTTATCGCCTCATGCAGCCGGCCCACACCATCCGGGCCGCCTCTCTGCCGCTGTATGTTGGATGGGCCAAGAGTCAACAATAGATTTGACATATGGCCAGCCGAATGGTATCGCCTCAGCTAGCCAACTTATCATTTGTTAGCTTACGAGGCGGAGGATGGACGGAATTTGTATGGAGTTTGGGTCAAAATGCAGCGACAGCGCCCACATGCATCAATCTGCTAGACTAAGGCGTCGCTTGGCCAGTTTTTAACCATTGTTCATGCTTTCACTGCTGCTGCTGCTGCTGCTATACCCTGCAATTTATGCTCAGTGCCACTGAACAATGCCAATTAAGAAGATGCAGTCTCTCGGTGGTCGAATCAATGTTATTAACTAGCCAATTAGGAGAGTCAAACCGCCGAACGGAATTTGCAATTCGAATTTTATATAACTAATTAACGGTATTGCACGAAACTGATATGCATTCACAGGTGGTGCATGAAGCGGCAGTGTGGGGTGGAGAAGAGGAAGAGATTGTTTCTTGGTTTCGGAATATGTTCGTGGCAAGACTTTGCTTCACTTAAAGCCTCAGCTCAAGTTGTGGCATGCTCAAATATATAGCGTATATACATGTATATATATATATATATATATATATGTGTGTGTGTGTGTGTGTGTGTGTGTGTGTCTGTCATATGAATATCACAAATGCCATATGGCAAATCACAGCGATTTCGATTCGACTGGCTTAAGAAACTGCCAAAACATCTTTAACGTTGCCTTTGATTCTCTCTGTTGACTCATTCTTATGGGAAGCCGTCATCCACGCACACTTACACGCACACATACACACGCACACTCACACACACATTTGTTGGCGATTTCTTTTTTCTGCTTTATGCAAATCTCATGGTTCCTTAAAGCTTTCTTCCTCAGCTCGTCGCGCAAATTAAGCTTAAAGTATCTGTTGTTTGTCTGTATGTGTCCTTGCACATATGTGTGTGTGTGTGTGTGTGTGTGTGTTTGGTTGGGCGGGCTTGCTTGTGCTGCAAATTATAAAGTTGCTGATGCTGCTTGCTGGGCCAGCAACTTTTTCATATCCTCTGCCCGAATGTAAATGGGTTAGCAGACAGTTTAAGGCTTCTCGACGAGCCTCAACAGCGTCAGCTTCAATGGCCATTTGCGTCTGACTGGCCACCTCCACCAATGGCCATATACACATATGCGGTGGCGTGTGCCTGCTGCCCGCCTGCACAAGCAAGCGAGCATATTTGCTGTGCTTCTTGACAACAAATTGGGCAAGGTCTAGGCGCGCCTAAAAAGCGTACTGTGGGCGAGCTGAGGGCCGTTGACCATGGCCGACAGGACATTTTAATTTATGTGCAAGAGCAAAGTTTCTTATCTTTTCATTTGGCTTACAGTTCGATTCGAGAGAGCATGGAAAAGAATGCGCCTTCAGAATGGAATCGATCAGTTGGTCGAGCCTGCTTAGAGTAAATACGATGTTGACAAAGTGTGTTCCGGATGTGCTATGCATGTGCGGTGTCGGTTTAGAGATAAAGTTTTGTGGCATACTTCTGCGCGTCTTTTGCACAAAGTTGCCTCAAATGCATGTTGTGCGACATGTGTCAGATGCAGCCCAAGCCGCAGCTACTTCAGCAGACAAGCGAACGAATGCGGCCGGCTGGCTGCCTAGTCGAAGCGAAATTGTAATCAAATATTTTTTTTTATCTACTAGAATGCAGTTTCTGGGCAGTTGCTAAGCAAATATGGGCAAGTTACGTGAGATTGCCAAGAGATATTCAGCAGGCAAAGCTGCAATAGAAAGGGAGACAGAGAGAGAGAGAGAGAGAGAGACAGCCACAGCTAGAGCAAGTGTGAGAAAGCGGGCTGGCCAAAGCCAAAGCAATTGGCCAAATGGCATTTCGAGTAAAACCCAAGAACGTGACATGTTTCAAAAAAGCAAACAGGCCCAAAAGCTACCAACTGACTCACTAGCAGCCAGC